ATTTAGGGTCAAAAATTCAGGACACTTTTGAAAATGAGTGTCAAAGCTCACCTACCTATAACAAGTAACACATTGTCTAACTATAACTGCTTTCTAATATTCATTTTAAAACATCTTTTTGAGGTATTGGATGGAGCTTGTGTGAGAAACTACTGTGTGCTTGCGATAAGACAGCAGCCGAATGCATGGCTTCTGCCTTCTTCAACGAAAGCCTTCAGTTTGCACACAGGGAAGCATGCCAGGAAGAAAAGGTCTCGTGTCGAAGTGGGGCATATGAACGGCCTTTAAGCAGTACAGAACTAGGCGCTGGCATTTCTAGCTCTGAGGAAAGCAGCGAAGAGGAAGGTCCCTTACGGAGCCTATTACGAGCAAAGAGAGAGACATCATCCACTTGGAAACATAAGAATTCTTCAACGTGAAGGCAGATAACCAACCACGACCATTTCTTTGAGAAACTGCATGGGAAATTTCACAGTCTTACTCTGTCCTGTCAACTCTACGCTACCCTATATTTTCCAGCAGAGAAGCATCATAATCATAGACTAGATTGTATGAAACATTAGGTTGTATGCATGGTAAGGAGTTATCCTTCCCATAGGTAAGCCTGCGCTATGGACAAACTATGTAGATCAGATATCATCTCAAATAAAATTAATGTTTTCAAATAATTCTATTTGTAGGTAAAAACTCTAATCAAATACAATATGCTAACTACTTGGTTAAAACTGGAGCTTGCTGACATTGGCCAAGTATGTGGGATTTTTAATTAAATTAACCACGCACACTCCAGTTTCCCTGAGTTGTTCCTTTATTGATCAAAGGAGGACATACCCATAAGAAAAACAATTACATGAAAATGTGTCCCTTCTTCCTTTCTTATCTAACTGGAATTTTACAGCTGATCACTCAAGTCATGGCAGTCAAAGATGAACATCTGGTAAAAGGCATATCATTTGCCCCGGAGTTGTGTACGATGCACAATTATCTCCAGTTTTGAGAAATTTCAGACTGCCTGGGGAATAAATTAAAGGGCTCTACTTCCTGACAACATCTACAACTAATGAATTCTGAGGCACAATYTGCAAAGCTAGAATCCTGTTTTCTGCTAAGCCAAGACTTTATTCTTTTTCACAGAAAGCTTTCCATATTCACCACTCATTATATTCAGCAATTATTAGGCAACAGCAGTATAAAAGTTATGTATATCTTTAAACTTAATAAGGTGTTAATTTAGACTCCTTTGATCATAAGTATTACCATGAGGGATGAAATTACCTMAACTTGACTATTAAAATAAGCTTAAAAATATCTACTAGAGCCAAGGTCACTAGCAAGTTCGTTACTTGAATAAAAAAAGAAGTGCACAATGGTACAAATCTTCATATGCTTTTTTCATTAGATTTCAAATGTATAGCACAAAACAGAGCAAATGTGTAGCTTAAACTGAGAGGGCATGAGCTGCCCAAAGTAGCTTGTAACATTTTTTTCAAAGGGATTACTATTACCATACTCTCTGAACATGCATTTACAAAATACAAACCACAGCAGCAATAGGGTCTTTCCTCCTAAGCACTGAAGGCCGGAGTTCCTGATCAAAAGCAATCATATCTGAGCTTGATTATCCATTAATCTATTGACCTGCCATAACTGTCTGCTCTGTATGCATCACTTGCGAGTTGAAGTAACCTTTATTATGGTTTAGATTGGCGTTTCATGCCTTGTTTTTTTTTCTCCTCATTTGAATCTGATTAGTGCTCCTTTCTCTCCTTCTCTTGACCTGTATGCTTGGGTTCCTACTATCCTTCCCTCCATTGSAAGTCGTGATATCTCACAAACAGCTGCCTTAGCACTTTTTCTGGGGCTGGAAAGGATTAAGACTTTAAAAAACAAAACCAAAACCAATTCATAAAATATTTTTATTAAGCTAAAAAGTTGCCTTATCTCTCCAATTTTGACATTCACTTAGAACAAGTTATTTCTGGCAGCATATCTTAAAACAAAAAACTATTGCTACAAGCTATCTAGAGCTTTAACTGTTCTGAAAGGTCCAGATTTCTTCTTTATAACTTGGTCATAACAAAATGCTTGGTATTTATTACAGACCAATGGCTAACATAACTCTGAGCACAGGAAACACTGCCCATGTTCTTCCCAATGAGGTAGTAAATTTGGACTGTATTGCCTGGTCTCTTTTTGCAAGTTGACATTGTCAGTAAATTGAATGTTCCTGAATGAGCAGGTTATATAACAAAGCTCCTTAGTGGTATTTGGTATTTTTCCTGCCTTCAAACTACAAAGATTTAGAGTATAGCACTAAAAAAATTCAAATGTCATTCAACATGAAACCTCATAGCCTACACCGTTTACGCCATTAACACTAATGAACACAAAACTAGAACTTGTGATAAAACATAAAACCTTTTCCTTCAATGAAAGGCAGAAAGGCCGAGTGATGTAACGAATTCTACCCGCAGAAAAGACTTTATCTGAGTTTTCTTTCAAGTTGTATGGCCCACATAAAGCCGTCATTTCAGTACTTTAGAAAATTGCCTACATTTAACTAAAATGCCAATYTCTATCCAGTGTTGAAGATCAAGTTCATATTATGCTGATATGTTCGGTCATTTCAGAATTGAACCATTCAAAATTTATTGGTCTTTTATCATGATGACAGAAAATTACTTTGCATTTCACAGCATTTAAAAATAAAAACAATAACGAAAAGGTCGGCTACCTAACTAGCTGAAGCAGAAACCTTGGCCTTTAAAAATATGCATAATAGCACAAGCTCCTTTCTCTGACTGATGATACTGGTGCTTCTCTGCAGCCAGAACTTAAAACACATGCTTAAGAGACAAAAGTGCATTTCTGCTAATTATTAAAAACTAAGATGACGTTAGGGTCACAAACATTCATTCAGAAGTATGTCAAAGTATCTACAATTTTTTATTGTTTTTTTCAGTTAGATCATCTGAATCAATGAACATGGAGAGATTACATTATCCATATGCTGTCTGTAACCTGCTGTGCAAGTTGACATAGCTACTTCATTTGTGCTCCTCCCTGCCATTTTCTCTTCAGAAAGAATTTAGCAATCAAGTTATTCTGAAGTAATTCCAAAGTAATTCCCAACATAAATAATAAAGAGAAACTTTAAAATATAAATAATGTAGCCACTCTCTGATTATTGGCTGTATTTTTCATTCTGAGATCAGCTCTAAAGTAATAATAAATTATGTGAGCAACACAGAAGCAGGTGAAGGAGAAATGTATCAAAGTTTTTTTCTTCCTTCTCTTCTTTTTTTCAGGAGTTTCACATCGTATCTTTAAATAGAGGGGGCATATTTGACTAGAGCACATTTGTGTCCCTACATCAAGCAGTTACATGTGCACTTGCTTGAATTCATCACTTGAGTAGATGCTTATTTATTCTAACTCTTTAACCAATTATTTTTGCCTGTAATCTGATACRGAGTTAAAGAGCTGGAAAGTCAATGATAACAGCACTGACAGAGAATATATAAAAAAAGTCATGAACTTTGGAAAATGGCCTTTCATCCTGCTCATCTTGATTACAACAGAATCACTAAAACTAGCAGCAATGACTGACATGATGACTTTCAAATAAAGCTAACACTGTAAAGCAAAAAAACTGTTCCTGGGTAGCCAGATATTCACTCAACATCCCCCATGATAGCTTTTAACAAGTCACCTTTGTTTTGTCTTCCTACTTCCAAAAAAGCTTAATCTTGCTTAGAATTTCTTCCTCCTTTATTTGATCTAATAATGTAGAATAGCACAATCTCTTATTTACCTCTATCTTTTCTTTAAGGATGTTCTTAAACAGAAGAAAACAAAACAAAACAAAACCCCCACACTTCCCAAGTGGTTCTGCTCGTCTCCCTGGACAGTTCTGAAAGTCAGTTATCAAAACGCTACTGAGACTACTCAGACCAGCCTTTGCAACCAGAAAGGTTGATGATCATGCATCATGATAGCTGGTTCTCTGATTCATGAGAAGCTATAGAGGAAGACGGCCCTAGCCTCTTCAAATTTCCAAAAAAACTCCATTTTTAATGACTAGAAAAAACTAGAACAGAGGAATAAGGAGGAAAAAAAAAGATATAAGCCTCTGTATCATAGGGCACAATTTATTTGAGCTAGGGAAGGTCTCATCTTTCCCAAAACAAAAAAAAACAAACACAAACAAAAGCTTCCCCTTGTGTTAGGATGGTACTTTAAAAACCATTTAAATAACGGGGCATATCAAAAAATGTGGCAAGAAACAATAGTATAATACTCGGTCCTATCAGAGGACATAGAGTTTGGAAAACAATAACTTATAGGCAGATSTTCAGAAATATGAGCAATACAAAAACTCCTAGAAAGGGATACAACAAAAATGTTGCATGACATCTTAAATTATGGAGATGGACATGAACAGTATGGCTTGCTTACCTTCTTCTAGCTTATTTGCTAATAGGAAATGATTTATGCACTTCTCTTGTCTCAAATTTTGGGGGTGTTTTTCAAGAAGTACTAAGTTAACGGTGCTGCAATGCTTTACATTTGCAAGAAAGTTTTTTGGGCAAAATTTGTTTTGGTGTGTTTTATATACCAAAAAAAGAGGCAGCATTGACATTTTAACTGTGAAGAYTAAAAAATAACCAACATAATAGAAAATATTTAAATTTTGGTATATTTTATTGCTTAAATATAAATTGCACAGTGTATTCTTACATTTACTGAAACTGTTTCATTGTGTACAATACAGAATATATAACTATCAACACAATGACAAGTTAGCCCTATGATTTTGGACAACAGGCTCTTTTTATCTTTTGGAAATAACAGAGATTTCATTTGATTTAAAATGAATCACTACCAAAAGCCAACCATTTTCAAAATGACATGAAGAACAAGAGAAGTCAAAGCAAAAGCTGGACTATATTAAACAGCTGGATACCAATTTTTTAACATTTAAACAGCTCTCAAAACGTTGCAGATAATTCAGACCCAGTATGCACAATTTTCTTAAGAGTTTTAAGTTCTGCAACTCTTTTCAAAAGCATAAAAAAAAAATGAATCAAAGCAACCCAATATTCTAAAACAGTGTTCTTAAACTCATTTGGTTTCCTTTATTACCAACATACTATAAGAATCTATCAAAACAACACATTTTGCAGTGACTCTCATCTCCTACCTGTCCAAAATGGCTAGAGTGAACCAACTGACAACTTATAGACTTCCCTGAATTTCCAGAAAGGAAGAACTGAGATATCCTCTCAGCACTTGCAGCGCTGGAGTGTTACAAGCCTTTTTTTTTTTTTTTTTTTTTTTTCCCTGCTCAATACCTGTACAACACCTGCTCTCCCCAAACAGCTAATTTGAACTTTGGAAGCATGGAAACTTATCATTGGCATAAATGAAAAAGATCTCATGAACACAACAGAAAATGAAACAAGGTAAATATTTTTACAGGCAGCATTCATGCAACAGAATTCAGAGAAACAATTCTGTATTTACACAGTCTGCATATTGCAAGAGTGCAAACAAAAGTACATTCTATATTTCTTATCCTTTAGACTGCTTTTTTGTACAAAAGTGCACAGTGTTACTCTAAAAAATGACAGTGGAGAAATGTTTTACATTGTAGGTTATATTTACTATTTTAAAAATTACACTCTTCATACAGGTAAAAACTATTATGTCTTACCTTAAAAAAAACAAAAAGTGAAAACTAAAAGCTAGAGTGACAACGTGTCCTATTTATGTGCAGACTGTGGTCTGATCAGGCTGATACGGTGCAGCAGTAAAAATCACAACGGAATGCTGTAGGTAAAGGGTTGTTTCGTCATCCACTAACAGCTGTGATTGCACTGTTAAACTGAAAAGAAGGTCTCAATTACATTTTGAGTTTTGAGAATGGTTTCCAAAAGTCTCAGCATGTTAACTCATAGGTTTAAGTAGCTGAAATATCTCTGATGTCATGTCGTATATGACAGGTTTTAAAAAATAGTGTAGTGGAATGCTGTACATCAGTTCAAAAACCTGGAGGTCTGTTTCACAACAGGTGTGCAAATGCTCAAAATACTTAGCAAGTTAGCCAGCTTGCTCATCAAACAATAGCCCTTTGGGTCTCAGCATTATGAAACAGATTAATTTAGGTGGGATTTCTGAAGGCAATCTAGGCCAAGCCCTTGCTCAAAGTATGCCTAAAAAAAGCTACATGGATTTGCCCATGGCCAGATCACTGTTCACCTGAACTGCTGGCTAACTTAGAAGTTTTATATTTCATACTAATATTTGAGAACATTCACTCACATTTGTACTTGCTTCAATCAGATTCAGAGGGATTATGGCACTTAAAATTTCTATTTATGACATCAGCTACACACAATTYTTCCCTACAAAATTTAGTAAGACAGATTTCGGAAAGACAACTCAATTATCATTAAAAATTCAGTGATTTCCTCTCAGTTTCACTGAATTTACATTTGAATTGTATACTCAGATACATAAACCTATGAAAGCTACTATGTTTTCCTTATTTCCAGTTAGATTTATGAAATGAAACAAAAAGAAACACACAGATGAATCTGTAAAAATGCTTTTGCTTGAAAACACATGTAATAAATTCTTGGTCTTTAAATAGTTTCATCCAGTCTTCTTTCAACTTCCAAAATATCTTTATAAAGCTATAATAAACTACAGAGAAACATCTCATAGAATATAACTCTAATTTTTGTATTTATGCTTTAAAACACCCTCAGTTTATTTGTTGCTATACTAAATATATCTCTCGTATTTATACTAAAGCAGACAGAGCAAAATACTACTGCATTTTCCAAAGTACAGTTTGTAAACTATACATCTTAAGACATGAAAAATATTGCACAATTCATTGTTCCARGAAGAGACTTTTCATCTGTTAAACAAAGCACTAACTTTCAGCTGGTAACAGAGGATAGACACTGGGCATATATAGCTAAAAAGTGTATTATATATCAAAGATACTAACAAGTGTCCAATCATTACTTTACGCTACTTGAACACATGTAAGGTATGTTCCCACTCCCAATATATTAAGAAGTAATGAAATAGATGGAGAATGAAGAAAAGGAAACTAAGGTCCTGCTCTTCTATTACATGTATTGAGATGAAGCAAGCCAAAAGCATTCTAGTTAGATACATAAATTGACACAGAGGAGAGGAAAACAGAACAAAACAGAAAGAAGCTTTAACAAATCCTGCTATTACAATACCTTAAAGGAAGGAACTTACAGAAATACAAATTCCTAGAATATTTGAAACACTCATCTATATGGAAAAACAAGTTGCACACCTAACTTTTACATGTACTTAAATATGAAAATCAAGGAATGTGATCTATAACAAAACTAATATCAAATATACTAGAAAAACAACTCAAGACACTTTCACGAAATTGGCTAAAAAATAGTTTGCATTTGGCTCATGTCCATCATTATTTTAAAGTTAATTTAGATGAAATAAACAATAAAATCTGAAAACTCATCTTGCTCTTTCTACTGTATTCTACTCTAAATAATATCCAGCAGACTTCAGAAGACACTTAATACACACAAAGATCTGGAAACTTCATCTCATAGACTGGAACAGACTGGTAATGAGCATGTCCAGCAGTAATGGTCATCGTTCCTGAGGGGCTCGGTGGAGGGCTGCATGAGAAGAACAATCATTATATATAATTTATTAAAATAATAAAGGCTGCCTTTAAATAATTACTACACTAATAATTGAGATAAAAAATGAGGTTCTTTTTTTCCCCCCTACTATTTTATCTTATTCCTGAAATTATAATTACCATGCCTCACATTCTGGTCTGAATCACTTTTATTGATGCTAYAGAAATATGAAAATACTTTTTTTTTAAACAATTATGACTCATACTGCACAACAGATTCTAAATAACAACAAGAAAAAGTGACTTAGATTAAGATTATTCTTTATCAGGCATGTCAATTATTTTAGGAATATTATATCTTTAAGACACTATAACTACTTAAAAACAGTCTATAGTTATTTTCAAACACATTTTTCATTCATCGGATTCTTCTTGCAGAAAATCTTACCGAATGGTGAGTTCCAATATCTGTGCGAGTCTATCATGAAGCAAGTTTGCCTAGAGAAAAAACAAGATTTGATAATTACTTACTGTATACTGAATGAAGCTAAATCAAACACACCAGGGTGACTTGATGCTTTCCGCATCACCATGAGGCAAACCTAAGCAGCATTTTCCATTTAGACTTTCCCTCTAGTGCTGCAAGAACACTAAGCTCTAAAGAGGCACGTGAGATTGAAGGAGCTAACTTCAGAGTGCAACTTTGCTGATGTAGATGGGCACTTAAACATTTAGCTATTCAAAATGCTTAATGAGGTAAACACTCATACTACAGAAGGGAGTATGAATGAGATGTGAATCTTGGTTTCCAAGACAGTAAGAACAACATTAAAATGAAGAGTACTTAAGATCTCCACTGCTTTCAAACGGTCAGTTAAGGGCCAAAAGTGCACTTTAAAACGCTGGAATTTCCCGAGATTGCTAACAGCAGACAATAGTTGAAATTACGGAGCTGATTAGTGTTCTTTAACAGTAACTGTAGTGATACATTATCATAAACAACCTTTGTCCAGAATATACTCATGAAAGATTATATTACTATATCTTAAGTGCTGTGTAACATTTTTCAGAAACTCACTTTGGTTTCACATTGTGCTGCAATTTCTTCAAATGGGGCCTTTTGGAACTTTTCAATCACAAGACGCCTTTTTTCTTTTTCCTGTTCTTCAAGTCCATTGTTATCTTAAAAAAAATATATAAACAATGTTAACTGAGGACAAGTGATAGAAACCTCACAATACTTTGCTTTCATTTACATCTTACTTGTAACTTTTAATGTGCACTACAGAAGCAACRAATCGTATTTGAAGTGATGCAACCACCAAACCCAAGAGCGCTGTAATCAGACACTGCAGCTAATGCAAAATGCAGATTCATTTTTGAGTAACTGGGTTAAGAATGCTTTCTGCAATATGCTTTATTACAGGGCAGTGAGAGTTCCTCTTGCTTCCATTATCTGGGCTGAAACTTTTTGCTTACAGCACATGAGGAAAAAAACTACTGAGTAGCCTCTCTTCCTGTATCACACAGGTAGGTAGGATAAAAAACATGAATTTTAAAATAGAGTGTATTTGAAGGCCTCAACCTGTATCTTACAATGTATCTGTGAATACACTGAAAGCGTACTTAATGTGTTTTTAAAATGTAAAAACATATTTAAGTTGCTTTAGTAATAAATATCCCATGGAAATTTTACTGTTTTCATAGCTTAGCTTGTAATGATCACTTTATGCATCACAAGCATTCCCAAATGCTCCTCATTCAGTCATAATAGCTTCAGAAAATGAAAAGGCTTAAATAAAATTATGGAAATATAGCAGAAAGTTGGATATGACCGATGTTTCAACTCAATTTACTATTTGATGAGAAATAAATATTTCAATTATGTTATTCTAGTAAAGCTTCTTCTCTAATGATTCCACAGCATTCTAGAAGCAAACTGCATTAAGCACAACTGTAATAAGTCTTACCAATTGCTTTCTTCAAAGCTTCAAAAGTGATTTCTTCAGTATTATCAATCTAGAAGAGAAAAAAAATACCCTTAATCCTCACATATCAAAGACCTTAGGAAAAATGAGGAAAGTGATAAATACATAATGAAAAAAAAAAATGCTGGGCTATAGAATTTTTTTTGCCTTACAACTTTCTAATTCTTGTGTTAAGAGCTCCTATTATAATTTTTTTTTTTTTTTTTTTTTTAAAACAAGAATGTCTTTAAATAAGAACAATATATCAAGACAATTAATCAGGCTCAGTTTCTGACCCAAGCAAGTTCCCCAGGATGGTCTGGGGAAAACCGTAGAAAATGAGACCAGAAAACTTTCCAGCTCTTTTCAAGATGCTCTAAGACAACAATGCTTTGTAAACGGATTTGAATTTCAGTAGGACTCTCCTTTGAGAACAAATTGATATTATACGTACAGGAAAAGGTCTGTTTGCAGTTTGTTGTTTCCCCGCCACAAAAGGCAATTTGTTAAATATCTTGTGATTTTCCTACCTTATCCTCTGTGTTGTTCCCAGGMAGAATATCCACCTGAATAGAGACTGTGTCAACAATGCTCTTCCTTCTGGAGAGTCGGTCTTCATCTGAAAGAAAAACACTTTTATAACAGCTGAGACATGAACTAAATCATTTCTACATGATTTATGATATCATGTTTTTTTTTAAAAAAAAACATTTTTACTTCAAAATTGACCAGCTAATACTCTGACAAATCCTTCCAATTTTCCTTTGAAAGTTCACAATTTAATAACCTGAGGTGAAATTTCATTCAAATGCATAATGACAAAAAGATCACATGACAATACAACTGTTGTGAAATAGTTCACAAAAATCTGAACTGCTTGTTTTTTGAAACTGGAACTTTAATGTTGTAGTTTGGAGGTATTCTGAAGCAGAATATAGGAATCACTTAAAAGAGACTCAGTGATAAAAGAAGTAAAGATTCCTGCACTGAAACATAAAGTTAATCTTATTTTTCTTGTTGTTATAAATACTGTATTGGGAGATTCTATAACCTGCTTGATGGAAAAAGGTATTTGACTTTTTCTGACTTTCTCCAACATTTTAGGAAGTCCAATTATCCTGAAARTGTCAGGATAAGATGAACTGTGCTTTTATTAAAAGGCAAATTATGATTTCATTAATGTGGAARTAGTATAGGCTCAAATGGGAAGATTAATAGATGGAATTCTCTTTTGCGAAAATATATATGAAAGATACTACAAAAATAATTTATCTTTAATATATATTAACAAAAATCAAAAAACAGAATAAATTTAAGGATGTGTCATGACACTCTTTGGACACACTCATTTTTGTGCATCTGACCTAATATCATGAATTGCCTTGTTACATGTTAAATTTCAGGTGAGATCAAGCCATTTAGAACTGGTGACTTACTTTTGGTTGATTATGAGTAATGCACATAGCATCTACATACACTTGAGAATGATAGAAAAATTCCCTTCCACATGGTATTTTATGCTGGTTCTTTCATGACTTTTTTTTTTTTTTTTGAAGAAGCTTTTAAGCAAAATGTTTCTGATGTTTTTGTGGTGCACATACAAAGCGTGAACAAACACAATTCATTCYGCTAGATCCAAACTTAAAAGTTTCATAAAAATCTTATAAATGAATTGCCAATTTAAGATCAACAGCATTGAAAGAACAAATTCTAACTATCTTTATCTGATTCTCAACACTGCAAAGCTTTGGAAGAGGGATTTTGAAGAATTTACTCAGTTTTTTGAGCCCCCAACAACTTAAAAGCATTTTACAATAGACCAAGAATTGCAGGGAAACACGCTGTCAAGTGGAAACATGAGGCAAAACTACCTCTTTGCTGCCACCTGGCTGCTCTCTCTGTAGCTGCTGTGCAAACAGGAGAGGACACACTTTTAGTTCTACTTTGCATGTGACTCCTTTTTTATAATGGATGCCTCGCTGTTCTTGCCCTTCACTAATCTCAACATGTGAAGTAAGACACAGTGAATTTTTTTTTTCTTTTAGACCAAGGGGTTACTGCTGAGGTACAGGATTTAATTACAGTATGCTGTGAAACAGTTTGATTGATTGATATTATACTGCTCTAGACTTACAGGACCGTTTAGGGCAAGGACCACTGGTGGAGAAAGGGAAGAATCGAGACAGTTTGGGAAAACAAGCATGGAAAACAGAGGGATAAGGGGATAGCGGGGTCACTTGCATGTGAGCAGGTGGCTGTGCTGCGTGGTTGCCTGGCCATACCCTGTGGCTCATGAGTGTAGCCCGTCCTGTCTTCTCCTGAAACCCCATTTCTAGCTATTTTCCTGGGTGAGACTATTCTGTGCATACAGGTGTATGGAGGTCTAAGACATAATCACCCCTTGCAGAGCTACAGGGACAGAGGGGTTGGAGAGCTGTGTATCTGAAAAGGACCTGGGGGTGTTGGTTTAACAGTCAGCTCAACATGAGCCAGCAGGGAGTTCAGGTGGCCACGAAGCTCAGTGGCCTCCTGGTTTGTATCAGGAACAGTGTAGCCAGCAGCGCTGGGAGCTGTCGTCCCCCTGCACTCAGTGCTGGTGAGGCCACATCTCCAATACCGGTTTTGGGCGCCTCACTACAAGAAGGACATGGAGGTTTCAGGAGCTTGTCTGAAGGAAGGCAACGAAGCTGGTGAAGGGCCTGGGGCTCAGGCCTTATGAGGAGCAGCTGAGGGAACTGCTCACTGAGGGGTTCCCTGATAATAACTGAGGGGTTATTTTGTCTGGAGGAGACACAGGGGTGACCTTATCACTCTCTACAACTACCTGAAAGGAAGTTGTAGAGAGGTGGGGATTGATCTCCAGAATAACTACCAAAAAYAGGAGAGGAGAAGATGGCCTCAAATTGCGCCAGGGGAGGGTCAGGCTAGACATTAGGAAAAAAATCTACATTGAAAAAGTGGTGAAGCACTGGAACAGGCTGCCCAGGTCACTGTCCMTGGCAGTGTTCAAGAAACACGTAGATGAGGCACTTTGGGACATGGTTTAACAGGCATGGTGGTGCTTGGTTTATGGTTGCACTTGATGATCTTGAAAGTCTTTTCCAACCATAATGATTATATGATATACCTTACTTCTCATGAAGACTACCAACTTATCTGTCCTCAATAAACAAAATTAATTAAATAATTTGAATATTTTGAGTATTTTGAAATAAAGTCACCATTTTGTGAGTTAAAAAATGTATGTTAAAACACTATCTGACTCCAAGCAATTTTAAAAGTAYGACTCATAAGTCATTTTTGGTCTTACTACCTCTGTAATGCCCACCAGCAAATTTTAATCAGGACTACTACTTTCCAAGTTAAAAACCAGCTTTCTGCAGGATTTGTTTTTCTTTACAAAGTAAYAAACTCTATGCCTGAAAAATAAGCTTATGTCAAAATATGATTTAGTATGTGGGTGGATTTACAATAGTGCAATGCTCTAAACATCAGCTACATTTTAATCATAGGGACATTAATCCATTTGGAATGAATCAAAAAAAAATTAGTTTCGGCTTTAAGGATCATTTGTATTGGCAGAACAATGTAAACCAAAAAAGTCTTACATAAATCAAGCTCCCACAGTAAGCAAAGCACTAAACCCCTATACATCATCCTTTTTACCAAGTTTGGCAAAACAGCACATTTYCTCACTGACTGTTTCAGGCCTGGAAAAACTGTTGGGACAGATTAATTACATTTAAAATATTTTCCAAAATGACAATATTATGCTAAAGAGTAAATTGAAGTTTTTTTTTTAAAAAAACTTCTACACAAGCAAAACTTTCTCCACTTTCATTTGCTATCACTCAACTGAGGCAAATTCTATTCTTTCAGGAAGCCAGGTGAGTAAATTAGCTTCCCAAATGACCAATTTCATCATTACTAATTGTTTTATCTTCTTGACTGCCGTCTCTCTAGCTTTTTTTTTTTTTCTCTCCTCATTCTCATTTTTTAATGCTATGAAGGTATCTATACCTGAAGATGCTGTCTTACATTTGAACATCCTGATACTAACATCAAATTAGCACTTCTAGACTTCACTACATAGCACAACTGAAACATTTCATGGATTTATAGCTTAGCCTGGGGAACACTATATGGAACAACAGACTTAATAAACATACAGTGTTGAGCAGAGCAACCACTTTTGCWGCAAGTAAATACAGTTAACTTTGCTGTAAGTATATACATTATTCTAAGTAACTTTCCTTTCAAGTACCCGAATGTTTGACATTGTCTCAATGATATTCTCTGTRGTATGTTGAGGAAGAGTGGGAAAGATAATAAAAAGTAAACTGTGTCCCTGAAAAYAAAATTTATTTTGCGTTTCTGGTTTATAAGACAAAATCTATGCCATACTTAATTCCTGCATTTACAACGCACCATACTCCCTAGGGAGAATCCACAAGGAAAAACTAAAGAGAAAATCCTAAAATAAGAAATGTGGGGGAAAATAATCTTTTAATTTAATACAATTAAAACTAAATCAAATCTGTGAATAACAAATTAAAACAAACAGAACTGGATGATAGTAAACGTGATTAACAATGTGTTTGCACATCTTCATATTTCACTGAAGATCCTCAATTTTACAGTTTGTCCTGGATATAGAGGAAGATAAATCATCCTGTGCAAACAGGTGACAGCTTCTTGCAATTTCCCACCAAACTCTTGCAATTTCATTACACTTTCATTAAAATTCATTACTGTTACCATTTCATTTCTTGTCATCAGAACTGTCACAACAATCATTGCTATGGATCTACCACCTGCTCGAAGAAAATAGGAAGCTGCCAAATTTTAGAAATGCCAAGCCAAGAGCAAACACATAGACAAACCTTGCAGCTACAAGCATGGTTACAGGTGTATCAGGAAGGAGATGCAGCAAGGAGAAGGAGAAACTAAGTACAACACAACTTCTGGCCTGCTTGTCTAAAGGCCTTCTAAAAGCAGTTTGTTCAACTGGGCAAATCCTATCCAAACACACAACAGCTAACAGGAGAGCAGGCTGACCTATAAYATTACCTTTTGACTTGTGCCTGCATTTATGTGATTTTTTGCCTGATGGAAATAGAGCTAAATTAAAAAAATAAATAAATAAACAAACAAAATTATAAAAGAAATATCATCAAGTGCATATTTAAGCATTGTCCATCTCCTTCCTAAAAATAATAAAGTGTCTTCTGAGTATGCAGAACATCATCTCTTTATGAATGCTAAAATCTAATAGAAAAGCAGAGATTATCACAATTCTATCTCTGTGTGTCATTGTTAAACATTAAATTCTTACAGTTTAAGTAGGCTAGAAATATTTAGAATGAAATCTTCTTACTGGCTTTTCTAAACATTTGGATTCAAGTATAACTTTCAAAGATATAAAAAAAAATCATCTTCCACTGAAATTGAGATATTTTGAAACACTATATTCTAGCATTACATGCAACAGTAGATGTGAAACATTTCAACCAAGTCAAAAGTTTCACAATTTCAAAATAGTCACTTTGGTCCTCAATTTGATAAATGAAAACTTTGAAAGCTTAATTTTGAATCAATGATGCTGCTCAATGTCAAGATAATTATCTTGACAGGAAAAATTTTGAGAACAGACCCTTTCCTTATTTGGCACCTATCTCTTCCTTCAATACTAAGATGTATAGTGTTAAATACTTTCTGTGTGCGACATGAAACAGTTAAGAACAGCAGCATTTCCCTCATTAGAAGAGACCATTCCAGCAGYAGAGAACATCAACACTGAGGCTGTGTTTCGGAATATATCACTACCTTGCCTGCTAATACATGGGGGAAAACCAGAGCAGTTGTCCCAGAAAACTCATTTCCCCATAAAGCATCGATCCAAACAAAAGTTATTCAAGAGCAGGCTGTAATGTCCTTGAACTGCATTCTAAATTTCACAGGTCTGATATTTTCTGTCTACAATCTGTCTATGTAAATACAAACTGTAGAAGACAAAAATCATCTTCCTAGAAGGAACTCTGACTTGGGCTGCAGATTGGGAGGTGCAAGAAGTCCCACAAATCCTCCCAAGATATACTTTACCTTCATCGTAGCTTGAGAGCCACAGAGAGTTAGTGAAGACAAACATAGGATTCTTGATTAAAATAAYACCTGCTCAGTAAGAATTTTGCTAATACAAGTAACTACAACCAGCATAAAGATGGTAAGAGCATGTGAATGAGGATGGGATATGCTCCCCTCCAGTGACTACATAAAAAAGGATAAAATGTATTGACTTCTATAGTCTTACCTTCCCTACTAGCTCAAGTTAATAAAGAAACACTGTGATAATGCCTAGTGTCCTCCTAAGTCTTCTTTAGAAAGCAAAGGCTTCTTCAAAAAGAATTTAGGTGGTTTCAAGACAAGTGAAATTGAAATACCTAAACAATAAGCCAGTAACTCATAGTATCATTATGCAATGATACAATTTTGTTGCCAAATACTGAAATTATATTTCATTTGATGTGGTGACAGGCAAGRCGTTAAAAAAACACTTAGTCATTAGTACATAGGAGCTTTGCCACTAATCATCACTTACCCGTGACCTGGGGCACATATGGAACTGACAGTCTTTCCACACTGTATCCACTGCCGCCTAATGATTCCGTGATCTTGTTTGTGAGGAAAAATAAATTTTTTTCATGCTTCTCTAAGGATTTGGGAAGACTGTTAAAATACATATTTAAAGTTATTATCTAACAACAGTGACTTTTTCATGAAGTGAAATATTCTTCCAAAGTTTACAAGCAACAAGAAAAAGCCTCATTGGTGATACTCTGATGAAAATAAAAGTTATTCAGTTATTTAAGAAGGGACATACACCGAAAAGTGAGTCCACTCAATAACTCTGCTGTATTTTGAGTTATCTTAACACATCTTGATCATTTCAAATACAATCCTTACCTATTCTAATATTTAGAAAATGTGCTCTCTGATTGACAGAGAAAACTGCAAGATAGAAGTAAAATATATTTGACTTTATTAACACTTAGAATGAGCATCAGATGGTACACATGCAAGCATTTCTGATCGCAATAAAGACTGAAAAACAATCTTCTTTTTGTATGTTTTAATGCTTGATTTTCTTCTCCTACCTAGTACGTTATTAAGTCTCCATAATGCATTCCAGAGACACAACCTATTTCAAAGATGTATGACTACAGATAGTCACTTAGTAGGTAGTCACTAGGATAGGCAGTTAATTGATCAACATACTGAATTCTACTTACTTGCATTTGTCTTTGAAAATTGTTTCTGGCAGAAAATAAGGTGCTTCCAGGCTTCTGGTTTCAATGACCTGMAAAACCAAGAGAATTAATAAAAATGCAATACTTTCATACTCATCTCCTCCAATGAAGAAATTGCATTTGAAGTTCTGTTGTAGGTTAAATAATTCACTAACATTTATCTCAGCACAAATGAGACATTTAATGATGTTTAATAACTGAAGATCAAGACTCTAGTTCTCATGATCTTGTGGACCTTAGCACTATTTTAACAAAGCCAGTGAGGCTGGAAATTCTTTCACTGAAAGGGATTTTGTTTATGCTGCTATATATAATGGACTATGTAAAACTGCTATAGTACAAGAGAACATTCTGTGGGTAAGTTTAAGAGTCAGCAGGTAATGTCATTAGACACAGAAGACGAACAGCAGTGTTGATGGATATAAAGACRAACAGCCATTTCTTAATATAAAGGGCAGATGAAGATTTCTTTAACTTGTTTAAAATTATGCTTTTTTTGAGGAAAATGCCATATATAGCTAACTGTAAGGGCAACAGCTTCAAAAACAACATAAAACAGAAATGATGTAAGCAAAATGAAGACTTGAAATAAAAGAAATGATAGAATTTTCACCTATTTTACCTGTTATGCATAATTTTGTTAGTTATATTACGCTACYACCATGTTCCTCATTAACACAAAAGTCACAGAACATAACCAATTAGAGCAAAATCTATTTATTCATTTTGCAATAAGACACACTGTGCTAAGTGACAGAAGTTACTTAATTATGTATTACCTTGCTGACATGCTGACAAAAAGCAGGGACCGCAATCATCTGACTCAGAAAGTTTAGATACGCTGCAACCAATGCCATGACCCCACAACGATTAAACATTGGCAGATTATCCTCATTTATGATTGCAATGTCCTGAAATGTAAAAGACAAATTAAACACTCCAAAGTTCGTAGATTGTTCTGAATATAGRGAAGTAGTAATAATAAGTAATAACATTAGCTGTTACACAATGACTATCTAGTATTTCTTGGCATTCAACACTTTCMGTGTACAATATTGGCATGATTGTTTAAATCCTGAATTAGGTAAACATTGGCCTGGGAGTTAGAGAATCTGAAGGCTCCAAGCACTAAGAGGAGGAATAAAGCTATTCAACTCAGATTTTCACAGAATCACAGAATGGTTGCAAGGGACCTCCAGASATCTAGCCCAACTCWAGCGGGGCAGCCTGTTCCAGGGCTCTGTCACCCTCACAGTAAAGAAGTTACCCTCAARAGCAATTTCATCTCCATATGTTTTAATTTATGCCCTTTACCCCTTGTCCTCTCACTGGCCACCRCCAAGAAGAATTTAGCCCCATCTTGCTTACATTCTCCCCTCAGGTACTTCTACATATTGATCAGATTCCCTCTCAATCATCTCCACTCCAGGCACCTTCTTTTCTACCGGCCAGAGGATTTTATTTTGTAGGAAGAGAGCACTCAGTAATAACAGATAATCTCTGGCCCTTAAGATCCACATAATGACAACCCGCTGTTCAATTTTTTTCAGGAAAGTTGAAATCAATAGTTAAAAAAATAAATAAAAATAAAAAAATAAAAACACTGTGTTGCATCAACAGTACTAAGCCATACATGGCAGCATTCAATTAATATTTTTAATATTGCTACATAYTGCTACAGTAGTAGGCAAGTAATTTTTTTTTTTTTTTAAGAGATAAGGAAGCAGAAAAAGGCAAAACGCAACATTGTTGTCAAAATGACTGCTCAGGATATCTTTTAGTCATCTTTGATTCTACTTCAGCTTTATTCTTCTGTATTTCCAGCTCACACGCTCTACATTTGCTCATCTCTTCTGTAAAAGTGACATTTTAGGAAAACTATTTTACAATGCAGATACCAAATAAGCTACATATAACAAATGTAGGAAAGTCTTCCAAAGAAAATCATCTAAGTATGTACCTTTTAAGCTTCCCAAAGATACTGTGTAGCTAATCTTGTTTAAAATTCAAACTTAGATTCTTAATTACGACTTTAACCCCAGTGAATAAGCAAACAAAAAATAAAGCCACATCTGAAACTTATCTTCATGCTGCCATGTAGGTTTTTCATATATATTTCCAAGCTTTAACAGCTGAGGAACTCTGCTGAACTTGGACTAGTTCTCTGCATTTTTCAGAAAACTTAACGTGAGACTGTTGAAGGTTAGAATTTGAACAAAGCCATTTATTCACATACCCTCTTCAGTCTCCTGTGTTGGGGTTAGGAGTAGCAATTTGGTTGATTATCACCCTTCTAACGTAATAAAATTTAACCTCACTGACAGTTTCCTTTTACACAGATATGTAACAAGGTTTATCTTCCCATGCAAAATTTGGCACTCTTACTGTTTGAATTAACTTGTCAGAGTTCCAGAGACAGCATATGAGATCAAAGTGTGGATGATGCATCTCTAAAGCTTCCCTTTTGTCAACTTAGGGCTTTATGACAAAAATCATAGTATATATTTAAGCTCATATTTAAATAATTGCATGCAAGTATAAAATATATGTTTAATCTTGTGTAAGAAATGTCAAGAAATAAAGTCACCCAATACATTGGCAGAATTTTTGTATATGTAAAATTAAATAGGTCTGTTTCTAAGCAGTCAGTTATCCAAAAGCTTTTTCCCCGAGCTGAAGTCCTAATACTGCTCTACATATCCTAAATTCTAGGATATGTAGAACTTCTCCCTACATATCCTAAATTCTAGGATATGTAGAACTTCTCCCTACATATCCTAAATTCTAGGGTATGTAGAACTTCTCCTGCAACTTCTATATCAGCTTAGTCCAAGTTTCCCTTTTAATAAGTATTATGTACATACTGCACATCCTTAAAATATCAGGTCTGAATAATGCAATTTCTCATTTAAAGTCTAATAATGCAAAAAAACACAAAACAAACAAAAATATTCACAAATCTATTCACAAATATAAATTATTAATCAGTGATCACAATGCTAAGTCAGAATCATACCTGCAAAGCAACAGCTAATCGGATGAGGTCAATAACTACTTCTTCATTCGCTAGTTCAATTGTGATAAGAGCGAGAGATGTATATAGAAGCTCGAAGTTCTTTTGGACGTTGTCATCTTCTTTACAGCCTAAGTAGATGTGTCTGTACAACTGCTGACCATGCTGTAATAATAATAATAAATAAAAAAGTCATAGTAATTCAGGTTAGAAGAGACATTTAAGTGTCATCTAGCTTCAAGCAGGGCTAATAGATCATTTTAGAGAATTAAAAATAGAAGTATACATGTACATCATTAATCATATAACTAGTTTACAGCCAAGAGCCATGACAGCTATTTCAAAGAGGCAGTTTAGTTTAACATTTCCCTAGCAAGACACTGACTACCATTAGTATCTTCAGTTAATTTAAAATAGAGAAAAATGATTTGGAAGAGGTAGATTCAGATGAAAATGAAAGTCTAGTGCCTACATCTTGTAGAACTTCACCTAACTTCAAACACCAAAAAGACCAAGTCTGATATGCAGGCACTGTTTTTCTTCAAAGATATCTTTACTTCCACAGACCTTGTACCAAGTAGATTTTTAAACAAGCCTTTTAAATAATGAACCAAAAACACATAAGATATATGTCATAGTAGAGAAAGACTACTACCCTAAATTGAGTTTATACCTTAATTCAGTTTTTATAAAAAAAATCTAAATCAGCTCTGTATAAAACTACAATACTGAACATAAATGAAATGCTGTAGAGAGATCTAACTATGGAGCGCTTTCAGAATCATAGTTGAGATRCACACTGTTCAAATTCCATGCAAACAATTTTCACAAAAGAGCTAACTGAAAATATTATCCACAGAACCATCATCTGAGATTTGAATAAAAATATTTGCTAGCCATATTAGCAATTTGTAAGAGTTGCAAAACAAAAGCAAAGCTACTGATCCAATTACTTTATCTTCTTTCTAGATGGAAAAATCTAACGTTTTTATTTCTATTACCTTTTTCATGAAGCTCACATCTTGCCTAGAAATTTTGTCTCGTTTTATCTTTAGATCAGAAACATCTGGTATTATTCTATAAAGAAAACCAAAATGTCATTTCAGTAAAAAGAGGTTGCAGAGGAGAGAGAATTTCTGAAATATACGAACTCTTCAAACAAGTTGAAGCAATTTCCACTTTAATTATCCACATTTAACAGCAATATTTAAATTCCAGCTGAATAGGGAAATGATAATTGCAACTATGACAATCATAGTTCTCCCCCCATCCCCTCAAAATACAACATCTACAAAGCAGATGTCAGATAAGAGTCAGTTAAATTAGCTGCTATTTGGAAGGATACTTTAATGTATCATGCATTAAAAGCTTTACCTATGAAACTTTCTCCATCAACAAATGCACTAAGGGCACTTCATTTATCACAGAACACTTGCATCTAATATTTGGGAACAATTTTAAAAACCTACATTACTTAGAATTCGGATATTAAACTAGAATTTCAACTATGTCAAAGCAAACAAATACCGTATTCCTCTGAGCTTTGCTCGGTTGTCATGTCGATCAATGAGATTATGCAGTATTTCCAAGACCAGCTGCCTTAGCTCAGAGTCCTCCATAAGTGAAGGTGATAATAGTGGGTCCAGAAATGGGGCAGGAAGTGCATTAGTAATAGCTGTTGCTTTGTATCCTGAAGTCACCTGTTCAGTGTTGGAGTAACATTTAATGTGAGTCATTAATATATTGTGAGAATTACAGACTGATTACGTTATCAAGTATTATTCTTTTCCAAAAGACACATGTAAGGGTGTTCAGTTCAGTAAACAGAACACACAGGGTTCAGCAATTTCTAATTCTCTACTATGTATGTGCGCAGATGACATCTTAACACACCACTATAAAAACTTTGCTCCTTCCAGCATCTTTCCTGCAGTATTTACTAGTGTCTGAAAATATTCAGTTTTACATCTTTGTACTGTGAGGGGATTTTGTTTTCACTTTATAAAAGAGGAGTCAAAACAAAATTTAAGGTCAAAAGTGTTTCATTGTCTTATAGGCATAACTCRAATCCCCGATGGCCTGCTTACAGGCTTTATCACTTCAATGATTAAAAAAATTCTCACTGACTTAAATGGAAAGTTTTAGGACTGGTCTGATAAATACTGACAGAGACAGTGTAGGCATAGCTGATCCATCTCAAAGACAGTGTACAAGATAACCATTTCAGGTCCTYTCAAACACGTCTTCTATTGCTAACTTGCAGTTGTGAAGCTTCAGGTCTACTTGGGTCAGAATTCAGGACTTCCTATTCTGACCTGCAAATAAGGATTTAATTCATTTGCCTAGCACTGCACACAAATTTCATGGCAAAACAGGGACAGAAACTCATTTTCTAGAAGGGCATTTTACTGCTTTAGGCCTGAAATACTAATCATATGATTTCTCCCTCCTCAGGCACTAAACCGTTTTCAGCATCTACAACAAAATAGGCCAGAATTAGGCCATACAACATCCTCCTTTACCACCAAGTTGTGGTTCTTACCATTAGAACAYGCCTCCATGCCAACAGAATAAACTCAGAGACTTGTGGAAAAAAAACAGCCAAACTCTCATAACACATTCATGCCATGAGAACAAAAGAAGATTGCACAAACTAATTAACTCTATCCTCAAATTTGTAATATCGTTGCTGACAGTATTTTTTGCAAGTAATGCAATATACATCTACTAAAATTACTATCCAGAAGTAAGGCCCAAAGAGTGCCAATGTGAGGGTTAAAATTTGCAGTTCAGGAAGTTCCTGASAAGTGCTTTTTCAATATAGTCTCTGACTGGATCCTCAAGAARAATCAAGTCTCTAGAATCATTAAACAACAGAACCTAGCTATACTAATTTTATTAAACCTCTACTTGTTGTTCAGCACTGGTRCTGTACAAAGAATTACCAAACGAAATTAGAGTCCCTTGCAAATATGGTTAAATTATAATTTTCAAGAATTCTCCAACCTCTTAGTCCTAACTGATATTTTTCAAAAGTATTATTTGTAGGCTAAGGTTTGAAAACTGTACTCATGATAAAACATTTAACTGTAACTTATAAGAAACTGAGAAATATCAGGAAGTAAACACATGATAACTTATGCTTGGTGATGGGCACCCATTCCTATACTATAAAGGTATTATCAATTCTATGAGGTACAGCTTCCCTCATGCCACCTACATGCCAAAGACAAACAATTTTCCTTATGCCAATGACAAACAATTTCACTTTGATGTTGCTACCACAGGTTGCAGAACTAGTCCACTCAACCCATTCATTTTTTTCTTGCATTTGCAGATCCAGCACCACAGTGCTCTAAAATGGAAGAATATTTCCTGAGTAGTTTGTAACACAGTTACTAAAAAGCTGGCTAATTTTATTCAGGACAACTAAGGACCTACTTAATATAAACATATATTTAATTTGTAATACAGAATGGAAGCACTATACTTAAATGCATAAACATACAGTCAAACACTGTGTTCTTATATCAAACAAGGAAGACTTACCATAAGTAAAGACCTCAGTAACATGATCTGAATCCTCCTAGTTCCTAAATCCCTACAAACAGAAAAATACTGAAAATTAATTTCTTTGCATATCTTTACAATAATGCTGTATTGCAGACATCATTCTCATGACCACTTTTTTTTTTTTTTTTTTTTTTATTTTGACAACAGAATAAAGCTGTTGTGGAAGGGCAATACAGAACGATCCCAAATAAGGAGCAAATGTCTCCAAACAACGTACAATAACTAAGTAGTTCTGAATGGAATAGTCAGATCAAGGATTAAGGAAAGAAATGCACATAAGTGATGTATGTGGATCAGATCTAAATCTTCCCATATGGTATCTAAAAAAGCCTTCCGTTAACTAAAATGCTTAGACACATGATGAGTTTCATTTCCTGAAGCATCAGTGCTCAGACTTTTTCCTGAACTAAAGTGCTATTGAGTCTGTTAAGAATCCAGGACATTTTGTTCAACAAGACACTGCAACTTTGAGCCTCAAAAGAAAGCGAGYTCCAAAGCTAGCATGAAAAATTCAAAGAACCGCTGAGTTCCTGCGTCACAGGAAGGCACAAGGAACAACACGTAGCTTGAGYTTCTTCCATTCTCATTTTCCATCTGCTGCTACTAAAGAAGTTAAATATCCATTGGTATATAGTCACATAAATGCTGTTCTTGCGAGGATTAAAGAGTAAATTGCTCCATTCAAGGAGACTCTTTCTAGCAAACAAAAGAGATAGGTTCTTTTTTGATGTGCAAATCCCTCTGTCCGCCAAACAGCATGAAAAAAGACCAAACTTCTTTACAAAAGTATCTGCACTGCAGTAGAAACTCCTATCTTCACTGAATATAACCCTGAATATACACGGTTGGTAGCATCATGTAATTATCTTGTGTAGCAGAGAGCAGATTTTCAGATAAGCAACGCTAGATTGTACCACCAGTCAAAGCCTGCTTTCTCTAGAATGACACACACACACACACATATATATAAACATATTAAATATTCAACCCCCAGCTGACAAGGGATCCTCTCAAGGTAAATTGGAAAACTGTGTGGAAGGGGGCAGAGAGGGAAAGTAACACCAACTGGTAGCTCAAGYACAGCATTCAAATACCTTCTTAACATAGAATTGCACAGCACAAACAGATTCATATTTTCCATGGATGTTTACTGCCCATATAGCTGGGACATAGTAAGTTTTAAATTACAAATTGCCTACAAGCCAAGAAAATGACAGTCACTTCTTATATAAATTAGCAGGGGATCAGACTTGCACATGGATTCTTTATGCCATACATGAATAACTGAGATGTACAGTGCAATCTCCTCTTAATTTCCTCAAGTTGACCAAAATCAGCCTTTAAATATAATTACTAATACTATAAGCAAAAGTATTAACTCTGAACTGGGAAGTTTTTTTCATTTTGAGTTTATTGATGGAGTCTACCTATCTATAGCTTTTTTTTCTTATTTCCAAGTATAAAAGGGAAAATCTAAGGTGTAGCAACTTTTATTTAGCTTCTGCAGTCCATTTCTTAATCTAAAGTCATTTTGAATAGACTAAGCAAAATCAAAAAACAATTACAGAGTCATGTGACAGTTATAGCAACTCCCTGACTCCTAAAACACACATTTAAGTTATAAAATTAGTAAACCATTAATCATGTAGTTCCAGAAACAGTGTATATGCAGACAGCTAAATAAGTAAAATAATTAGAAAATGCTTGATGACCATGCTAGGAAAGAAATATTTGGAGACTGAGTTCATAATGCTGATACTGCATTTACTTTGTTTAGGTGTGACATTTAATATGGTCCCTAATAAATGAAAACTTGCATTCCATTTTTCTTATTTTTTTTTTCCTCCACATGATTTAGCAGGATTTGAAAAGTTAAGTTTATAACTAGAATTTCAAAACATAGAAGGTCATACAGACCCAAGATGGCTTGTATCCAGCGACTGTGAAGCTATTCCAAAAACAGGCACTTTTCCCATAATGAACATCATAATCTCTGATCTCTGGTAATCAGGGAGATTGCTTCCAAAAAACCCTACACAAAAATGAAGTGAAAGCACAGAGAAAGAGAAATATGAGGCACTGTTGTCCGAGAGAAGCCTTATAACCACTAGGAATATATTCACAACGTCAAGAGAGTAAAATTTCTCTTCTATCTGGAGATCTTGCATCTTTGAAATAAACTAAGATCTCTTTCAGTATTGAGGTATGCAAACAGAAATCCCACAAGCATACAGCTGTTTTACAATGATGCCTTACAAGAATAATCTCTAAATCGGTGTGAAGGAATAAAAAAGGAAGTTTTACTTTAGACTTTTTTTATACACTTTAATTTCAATGGAGTTTTACTACAAYGGTAATAGCTTATCATTTATTATATCATTAAGCAAATTTATCATTTAAATTTCAATTACTTTCAGATGTGCATTCCTTTACATTTCSCCTTTTTCTTTAAATACATTGCTCTCTATATAAATATATATAACACTACTATAGTGAGAAAGTTTTTAAAAAGATGTTTAAATTAATGAAATTTATAGAAATGGTCGTTACCATTCCATATTATACCTCTTAAAAGCACTGTATAGCAAGACAACTGGTCATTAGATGTCACTGTAGCTATGTTTAATATGGGTTTCCACAAGCTGTCAAATAATACCTATTAAAACATTACTATATAGAGACTGCTATATGATTTTAATAAAAAGAAATAATAATAATGCAGTACCAAATGTATGCAATGATTACACAGGGCATCAAAATATAATCACTGTGCTTTTTAATAAGTCCACTATAAACAAAACAATAATTRACAAAATACTTACATTTTAATTTTCACTGAGCTTCTCAGGGATCTGTGTAGTTAATAACACATAGAACAGCCTCTTAGGAGACAAAATAAGCTTGGGATTTAGAAGCCCAGTAAGGGATCCCAACCTTACCATGATTCATTTTTAATTCAAGCTCTATTTTAATACCATCTCACTGGGGGAGAGGGAAGGCTTTTAAGTGATCCCATGTATCCTTACTCACCAATTGTTTGAATAATTGCATTCTGGACAATCCTCTCATCACTCTCCTTGGAGCTTGTGCTGAAAGTGGCGCTCCCAGCGGAACTGCGCCTGTCACCCAGCTCAAAGTCAACGCTGATGCGCAAGTGCTTCAATAAGGTATTAAAAACCTCCAGAACTGTTGGGCCTGGAAGCAACACATGACAAGGACTGCAGCTGCCAAGTGAGAGAAGCCTTAGGAAAACAAAAGCTAACCTTTTAGATTAGTTTATTGGAGAAAGCAGATTAAAGTGAAATAAGTGAAATGTACTGTTTGAAGGATATGATCTGGAGAAACTTCTGAAACATGCTATATCCTGATGTTTTTCTGAATTATTTTGAAATAAGGAARAACACTCAGATATATACAAATATGCCATTACTGCTGAGTTTTACATAGATGACCTCAAAATATCTGGTTGATGAAATTAGGCATCAGTTATGGGTATAACTGTAGGTATTGATATCTGTTTCAGTTATCCTAGAGCTTACTATTAAAACTCAGGCCTATTAAATGGATTGAATAATGAGCTCTTCTCATAACATGGTAAAAGGCTCCACAAATCTACTTGTGCACATAAGGAAGCCTTGTATAAAGGGAACAAGAAGAGGCTCAGAAGTTCAGAGGGGTTTTCTCATCCTACGCCTGACTCTGACAATGCTGTCCATTTCATAGCATCCTTATCACTAAGAAAGAGTCTTCCTGATCATTTTTCTGTAGTTGCATGCACTCCTTGAACTTTTTTTTTTTTTTTTAACTTTTTACAAAGCAGAAATTCCTGTCTCACACAAGTYTCCAAGAAGAAATCTACATTTTTTGATGCAAAGGAGTATAATTCACAAAAGACCRTGCAAGCATACAGCTGACCAACTGAAATTTTGATCAGCAATTTGCAAGTAGGTTTTATCAGTAAAAAGGGAGAAGAGTAGTGAAAGAAAAGCAATGATAATAATTAGAAAAAATATATATCTGCTTTCATTCAGTCTGAAAACGAACCTGTTGGATCTGATACCATCAATTTGGCATGACTTACCTATTGATCCTTTAGCAGCTATTGCAACTGCTTCCAAAAGAACCTGAATAATGCCAGCACGGACCCGCGGMGAGTCCCTTTTTCGAGCATCAAGGTGTCCAAGTATTTCTTGTATTACATGATGGGAATATTGTGCCTATTAAGAAATGCATTGGCAAGTAAAAAAATTAATCTATCACTCTATGTAGTATAAATTTACACACCATTCAGGCATATTCCTGACTTTTTTTTTTCTATTTTGCACTATTCTTACCATTTTGCCTAAATTCCAATCAGCACAGGATTAAAAACATATCAAAGGAAAGATGAAGCCACAGAGGTCCATCCAGTCCTGTATATAGAATCAAACACTCAAAATATCTAGGGAAGTCTGCAGGTATAAGAGAAGCATCCACCAGTACTAAGCCACCTGCAGTTTAAGGACTTCAACAGCTTCAACAGTCATTAAGAAATTGATACAGAAGTTGAGAAAAATGGATGTAAGATGTATCATGCATACTCAGAACTTGAATTCTGTGATAATCTTACATTTTGTGCATATGTGTTTGATACCGTTCAAGTCGTGATATGTTTACAGACAACACTGGTTGCCAACTGGAAGAAGTTTATTTTACTTAACACAGCAGCATGCTTCTTGACTTCTAAAACCAATACAAAGCTCGAAACATAAGCAACYCAGAAAATATCTATTAGACACAATTTCAAATCAGTCCAGCTACCTTGCTTCTTGTTCTGGAACTTGCTGAAGGACACACTACTTTCTCCTGAGCATTTCTTAATATCTTTTATTTCCTTCTGCAAACTGAAAGTGAATCATGTAACCTCTTGACATAAATCACAATGGGTTAGTSTCTGAAAAGTTATGTGATGCCCTTTAAAGAATTTGGGGAAGCAATTTTCTGAGTTGTTTGACTTCATCTATTGCCTACTGTCATCACGAGGTAAGCATTTAACCACGTCTTATGTGTTAGAATACACAAGGGAAACAAGCCTAGAGAAAACCTACCTGTATAGAATACATGATGATTTTGAAGCAAGAAACAGCAAATTCATTGGGATCCCATAGTCTATGATAGTCTAAATGTCTGCAACAAGAAATTAAGAGATTTAAAATGACTTTGAAGAGATACAATAWACGACACCTTTCATTCTCTTCAAAATCGACCTCAAAAGTATTACTTCTTCACTTTTACTTCTCAAAATACTTGCACCTGTACTTTCTAGCTTCTCACCTAGCTTACTGACTAGTTGACAAAGCTAGCGCTTCAGAAGTGTTTTGTTTTCAAGAATTAAAATATTATTACAAATCATTTGGCACTAACAGATATTTCTTTTGTCAAATCTAAGTYGATCTTTTATATTCAAGAATTTAAGGAATCTATGCACAGATCTTTGGTCTAAAACATACTATTTCCATACAAAGGGCACACAAAATATATAGAACACTATATGCCTATTGACAAAAAAAAAAAAAAACCACTGGAATGGATGGTTATTYTTCCTTAACAAACTCTTATCAAAATAAGAAGCTCTTTCCAGTCAGTAGCTACAAAGCAATTATGGTTAAATACTACATCCAGAACACAGACTTGGATATCTATTTTCAGAACTGTTTTTTCAAAGTGAAGTTTGGGATGCCTGTTAAGGTTGTATAGACAGTTTCTAAACCAGCATCTCAGCTACAGAATAATGTTTAATCTGACCTTCCCACCAAAAAAGGATCAATCATCTAAAGATGCTCCTGAATTACGGACTTGCAAGCAGATATGTAAAATAAGTCAACATTCACGCACTCCTGAAGTGAAAGGATTCGTTAACTTACTTCGCCTGGAATCCAGAGATCTCAATAACTGGCTGGCCAGGTGCTATCAGCCTAATGAGCCAGGAGTGAACACAGCTCTCCTTCAGGGCTGATTAAACCAGTTGGCATAAAGCTATCCTCTCGTCTCTCCTAAATCACCTTGCAGAGCTAGGAAAGCATTGCTATTTTGACAGATTTGCATCCTCTTAACAGAAACCCTGGAGCAAGGGTTGAGGAATGTCAAATGCATAAGTTCATCTGCTATGATAAGAGCAACATGGCCATGGCTAACTGGAGTACATCTCAGGGAGAGCTGCCTTGTGCACATTGCAAACCCACACTTTATWTAATTCTGCCTTATGGCAGAAAGATGAACACAAGTCTCTTTCCTTGAAGGCTTAGTGGCTCACAACACCGGCATTTGTTTCTTCTTTCTCTTTATTATAAAWCCAGTACAAGCCATTATTTCTTCTCTATAATTTAACTTGTTTTCTTTTGTCTCATTGATACAAAACCATATTCTCCGCTGTCTTCTCCAGATTGAAGCTGATGCTTTAATCTCTTAGGTTACCATGTGCTCTGTGTTCCTTTAGACAGTTTTCCTTCATCTGTCCCAAGGATCCATTCAAGCAACCCCTGACATCTCCAGGTGAATCTTTCAAAAGTCCATTCCTCTTAAAATAAGAGGCAGAGTTTTCTTTTCTTCAGAAAGGTAAAGAAGTAGCTATTTCAGATAGCTGAACTGACAGAAAGGGGACCACTTAGACTAATGCTGTGTATAATTGCTCAGTGTGCAAGTATGCTTTGTACWGTTGAATTGCAACTAAAATACCTCAGAATTACAACTGAGAAGGAAGCATCATTTCCATTGAGATGTGTACGTACAAAATTCTAAATGAAGCCTCTTTAAAAGGCAGAAGATTGGGGATAAATACAATATTGTACAGATTTGAATTGGTAAACTACGCTAAAAAGCAACGTTAAGTTCTCAGCCCTTGGGTCCGTTTTGGCACTGCCCTTCACAAACCTGGCTCTGCCATCATCCAGTTCCCCACAGTCACAGGAGACAGGAAGGACTATTATTTCTTTCAACTACACACTTTTTGCATTAAGATACTAAATGCTGCCAGAATACAGTTGATATGTCAGGAAATAAATTATTTTCAATTTGTCTTACTAGAAAACAGGTCATATAGGAAGATTATAAAACACAATGCAAGCTTCCATCTGAAAACGTAGCACAGTAACAAATTAAAGCTATTGTCAAAATTCCTTTTGCTATTATAGTTAAAAAATATATATATATACACACTACTATGAATCTGATGAACATTTATGTTACATTTCTCAACGCATTAAAAATATACTAGAAAAAAAATGAAATTCAGCCTAAGAATCAATTCTATTAAAGAGGAAAGGTATTTGAGACCACTGGAAAAAAAGAGTCAAAAATATTAGATTGTGTAAATATAAAGCAAGGTTTCTAGAACCTATGGTCCTCTAGAGTCAAGATAGTGCTTGCAGAATGCACTGTCGTGTATAGGCAAGGCATTATGTCCTGATTGTGCAATTCCTTATTTAGAAAGCAAGAGATGTATATACAAAAGAAATCTCATACAACATCACTGGAATAAATCCTAAACACCAATCTTTTGCTATTATTACAAAACCTTACACAAACTACATGGTAACTCCTAAGAACAGTAATATGGTGAAAAGAATAGGGAATAGCTTCTTATATTTGGAAAATTGTTTATATTTGATAAATGACTGAGGTGTATGTGAAATTCATTCATTATTTCAATTTTATGCTGAAAGTCTGGTAAATCAAAATAACTTGTGATTTTTGACACACAATAAGCAATCTTTTCAAAGCACATGAATGTAAAACTTTGACATTCATTAAACAGTTTGCCAGACTGATCTGTCAGATTTCATTAAATAAGAGAATTTGAGAATTTCTAGTCAATAGAGATACTTCCAACAATGGAAATTTTCTGCTAAGGGCAAGGAGAATTCAGGTCAACTCAAGCCTTATCAGCGGGGTAACTTCAGATTTTCACTCCAATCATTAGGCGTTAATCCTTCAATCTTTGAATAGACATCATCTATAGATATCAGCCCCTAAAAGGAACTTAAAGGAGTTCAAAATAGTCCATCCAGACTATGCCTAGCACCCAACCTTTATCATTAGGTAAGGTTTACTAGGCAAGCATCTGGGAGTAATGGAAATGCTAGGCAAGATGCAAGCATCTGGGAGTAATGGAAATCAAATTCCAAATGTGGGCAAGGATGTCAATTCCTAGCAAGCAGAACATCCAACTCTGCAGCACTGTATCAGGCTGGGATGGGTGCACATGGTAAAGAAAATAATGGGAGAAAAAGGATTTGTGCTTTCTACCCAGAAATAAAAGCTCTTCCCTAATTTCTATTCAGATGTTTTTGTTCTTGCTTAGGAGTGTTCTTGCTTAGTCATTTGAAAATGTCTTTCAGTAGCTTCAAACACTGTCATCATATGAAGGGAACACTTGGTCTTGGTGCAAAGAAGCTGACCATCTAAAAACAAATATTCCCATCACAGGTGGATATCTTGACAAATTTAGGATCAGAAGCCAGCAGCTCTCTTCATCTCTAGTAAGGGACATGATTTAAAACTAATACCACCATGGGCAAAACTTCAGAGAGACTTTTCTTCTGAGGGTGCAGTCACACTGAAGGTACCAGCAAAGGTGAAAAAAGTTATCTTAATATTTAATACTTACATATTTTATATAATTAGGAAACAGCTACTACAATATCAAGAATAAAACAGAGAAATGCCAGCCTTAGACAGCCAATATAACAGCAATAACTTGCACTATGCAAACGCATTAATGCATAATGTAAATATTGTCTGCACATTTGCCCTACCCCAAATGAGCTGCCAAAGATATTTTTACAGAATATCAAAATGGGTCTTTGAAGACAACTGCAAGGAAAGTAGCAGTCTTAGCTTTTATTCATTAATTTTGGCACAGTGCTTTTTATTATTATTTTTTGCTACTTAAGCTTTTTTTGGCTTGCCTTTTTGCTAATTAAAACAGCCATCAATGTAATGTTAACAACTTGAACAAGCGGTTTTATATTCAAAAGAAATGGCAGCTGAAGAAACAACCATACGAATGTTTATATTGCATTTCTATGACATGGGACAAATATTACTGCATAACAACCTTCAAGATAACAGGCAAGATAAAGGAGAGACTGAACAAGCAGATGCTCTTAAGGGATAATTAAAAAAAAAGAAAAAGAAAAAAGAAAAATCAATCTAGCTTCCATAATTTTCTCACTTACGCAAAAACAGGTCTGACAGCATTATTCATATTCCCATAGGTTGCACGTCCTAATAATTCTCTGAAACAATTCTCAGCCAGCACAGCAGGATTTTCATCTTTTTCTCCTCCTGTAGGAGAGGATGGAGCACCTACTGTCCTGAAATAAGACAAAAATATATTGAAGTTATTACTATTCGTCTTACACTGTGTGCTCTCAGTTTGACAACATTCATGAGCCAGACTGTTGATCTCAACAGGAATCCTAGATTCAAACTGAACTATGAATATAATACTTTTATAACAGGATAGAGGATTGCATTCATGCAGTACACAGCATTGTATTACCAAATACGCATATGGCAAAAGAACAGCTAGTTATGTTTACTTGACCTATTGTATTTTAACAAACTATTACCCGTTGTTAACAATGCACGAAGGCTGTGAAATTGCAAGAGCTTTTGCAGTCGCTTGGTCAGTTTGTTCTAATGATCTCATTCACCTGCCGACAAATGAATCTAACTATGTGGGAGAGCGCAAAATAAGACTCCAATTCTTCTGCAGTAACAGATGGCTTGATCTAAAAAGAAAAACACTGGATCCAAGTCATTAGAACATTGTCACCCACTTACCTACCTCATAAGTAGACACTGCAGAACCCAGTCAACTTTAACAGCTCATCCCTCAGTATTATACTACTTTTAGAAAGGACTTGGACAAACAGTATGATGTTTATTATAGTGTCTGCATCAGTACTCATATAAACAAAATTTTCACTGCACTGAAATTCACTGATTTGCTAACCTGCTTTTTGCTTGCCACCTGTTTTTCTTCAGCTTTACGACACTGCAGGGCAGTTGGAATCCCATACTTATCCCATAATATGTTGTTAATAACTTGGGAAAAGTGGGGGAAAAGAAAATATTTGTAAATACATCATTCTTCAGACCATATAACAAAGGGATACTAATTTTTCCCATAGTCTATTTTGGAAGGTGACCCTTTCTGAATATTTTCTTTCCCCTAATAAATGTGAAAAAAAATATATATATAAATATATATATATATATCAATCAACTGACTTCTTCAGTCCCATTATTGTTTCCCATTACTGTTTTGACATAGATCCCCCTATAGAGGAATTCCCTACAGCAGCAATATAAAAGGAAAGACAGACTGCAAGATGCGTAACACAGAGCTGGCATGTCAGGAAGAACACTAGTTAAAATACAGTAAGAATCCATTATTTTCTGAGTTTTTCCATATRCAATCTCACAGCAGGCAATCTCCCAGAACCCCTTGGAGTCCTGTTTTAGAATAGGTTGCGAGAAGAATTTGCAGGACAAATTTCCTCATCTGTAACAGAAGTTTTTAGGATACGGTGCGTCAGAAAACGCAAAGTTATCTCCCACTGTCTCTTGGGATCACATTTTTGTTTTGAACTTTTGCAGCACCTTCCGTGTTTCTCACTGACGTGTGCCCCTTAGTAATATCAGACAAGACAGGGAATATAAAATTGAACTTAAAAAAAGTTTTTACACTGCTTCTCAAATTTCCAAATTCACATAAGTAATTCGTGCTCATTTTGTTTTACTGATAAACATGGGCAATAATTTTAGGTTTTTAAACCATATTCAGAAAATCCTGGATAAAAGCCCTCTTTGTGTTAAGGCTTTCACTGCAATCACAGGTCCAGAGTGAACCAGAAATGTATTTTGCAATAAAATAAGTAATCCTTATGCATTTCATTTATTCTGCCAGCTTTATTGCAGGTAATCTCTACCAGAAAAGGTATCAACAAGGAACAGGAAAGAGCATTATTTTAGGCATTACAGCAATTTCCATAGCAAACATCAAAACACAGGATTAAATTGGTTCCAAGTAATATCACAGCAGTGACTTTTATAATACTAAAAAAAAATCCAGGAACTAGCCAACTAATCTGATGAGTCACATTAAATAAAACTTAGTTGCTAATATTGAGTGCAGTACCTATAGAAATGTTCAACTGTGATTCATGGTTATTGTTCAATCACTCTACAGAATATATATATCCCTCCAAAATAGAATTTAGATCAATATTATGGACGTATTAAGATTTGTGATTTGATGTAAAAGAATTAAGTCTGCAGCATGTGCCCGAGTCTCCTGACTTAAATAAATCTGTCATTTTTAGCTTTACAAATATTCTGAAGAATGTTACAAACCCTTAAGATAAAACTTCCTTTCCATTTCCAATTTAATGCACCTTGTGGTTAACATGTCCTTTTCCCCATTTTACCAATGTACATAAAGAGACATAACTGACTATCTGGAATTTTCTTCCACAAGATGTAAGAAAAGGGAGGAAGAGACACTAAGGCAATAACTCATACTAAAATGAAATACAGAAATGATTATTTTGTAAAACAGAACTGTCCTGAAGTTCAACTAATCAAGAATAGCTTCCACCTTACACTTGCAAGTAACTCATAGTCACCTAAACAGAACACACATGTAGACCTGCGCGCAATTGATGAATTCCACAAATTACATCCACAAATATAATTAAAGGGTTTTTAAATATTCAGTTCTTAATTCTAAGAAGTGTGTAACTTGACATATGTACTCCACAATCGTGAATTAAGCTCTAAATTTGCAGTTCCACACCAATCTTTAGAACAATTTCCCATATGTGTACTTCAACATTATCCACAAATACTTGTTTTCTCTGGACTTAAGCTAGGATATTTTTTGGAAACTTTTCTCTTTCTCACATAATTCCACCTACCAGAAAAATGTTTCTTACTCCTACTCTTCAAGATGCCTCTGTTTACTCTCCACAAATATGAAATTACATGTAAAACAAAATGAGAAATTCTCTATAGCATTAAGGTCACCAGAACAACAATTTATAAATACTCTCTTCAGCTTGTGTGTCACATCTGCACCATAAAAAGCCCTTTTTGCCACTTGGAAAATCATTAGTCACTTCTTCTGTTGAATGCATGCTATAGAAAAGTTTCAAGCAATCCAGTTCAGATATTAACAGTTTTTTTGACAGATTTGTTTTTAACCACCACTATTATCACAAATGATAAAAATGAGTCCTAAGGTACATATAAACTAATCTCTTTTAAGCAGTTGATCCATTCCCTAGTTTAGTCTGTTTTTTTTTCACAAGGAGTTACCAATTCCTCTGATTTTGCTGTACTGGGCAGAGTTAATTAAAGGTTTGATGACACTATAAAGATTACTGAAGAAAAGTGTCCACTTCCATTCAAGGAGCCCTTAAGAGATGGTAAAAGCTAATTATACTGCCCTTATTTGCAGAAAAGTTTCAGAACTGTGGGCTCTTGTTCAGATTGCTCTACACAGGTAAAATCCAAGTGAACGCATCTATATATCAATGGGTAAGGAGATAAAGAATGGGCAAATAAAAAAAAMTATTTGCTTTGAGGAAGAATCAGGTACTACTAGTTAGGAAAAAGGGGATAAATATTAAGCTGAAGGGGAAAAAGAAAAATAGACGGGGCTATAAAGTCATGTGAAAATGTGAGATGCCTATTGTAATATTAAGTCCATTGAATCTACTGCCATGGAAATACTTAAGAGGCCAGGGCTGGACATGAAGTAAGATTTTGAGCTTGTTTGGTTTGATATATAGAAATTTCCCTGTGCTACCAGTAATTTCTTTTTGTACTTACAGTGTTTAGACATAAATATGTGGTTCCCATAGTCATGGAGAAAAAGGGTGACATTTCTGTCGCAACTGTGACATTTGAAACAATACAAAGAAATTTTCAATCTTCACTTTAACTACCAACTGGAAAAAGAGTTATTATTAATGATCAGATAAGAAATAAAGTCCCTATTTTAAACAAAGATAATTACCAAGATTTGAATTGCCTAAAAACATGCACTTGCTGCTCATCTCTGCATCTAACATTGTTAAAAAGTATTTTTTTTAAGTTTCAATACCTGTCAATATCTTCTATTTTCTGCATATTAAACAGCAATGATGGAACTATCTTATCCATGTGCTGAGGTTCCCATATAGTYGCTCGAAGTTCATCATTAACAGTTTTTCGGACCACTCCCTGAATGCCCCTAATTCCAGCAATGCGGATCCTAAAAAAGAAGGGGAGAGGGAAGAAAAAAAATCACCACCTCGCAGCGTGACTGTTGACTGATTAAAGTCCGAAAGTCCATTTGAACAAAATTAACCGAGAGCCAAACAACAACAAAAAGGAAAAATGAACATAAATTCTAACAAAGACTTAATCTGACAATTAGCTATTTTCATTGTATAACTGAAGAAAAAATAGGTTTCAGAAAAATACTTTCATAGAAGACTGTACAACCAAAAAGAATGATAAAACATTCTTTGTTGAAGTTGTAATAGAAATTAGTCATCATCAGGAGTGCCAGGAAAAGAATTTTACCACCAAAAACAAGTACAAGAAAGGTTGATACAGACATCAAATAAAACAAGCAGTACAAAGTTGTGATAAAGTTTGAAATTTCTAATAAAATAAATCCTTTCAGATTTTAAAAGCTTAATTCCATTTTGAGCAACACTAGCCTTTGTTCAGCCAAATTCACTAAAATAAAACATGTGCTAGATGAGCTTAGAGCTAGCTGAACACTATGATTTATATACATGTCAGACTGCGGCCCTGTCTTCTGCTGTTTCTGAAGAATTATCACATGTATTCAACCAGGATCAAGGATGAGCAACTTAGCCCTTCTAGAGCTTTCCAGACAGTTTTAATAAGGTTATAAATAGAATAGGGAGTGATGGATGTTCCCAAATAGCTAGAAAAGCACTTCCTATTGCTGTAGTGCAACTACCATGTGGCTGTGCTATTCCAGTATTAAGAATCTTTGACTGGCACTTATGACAGTGCCCAAAATTCCTCCACTGAAAGGTCTCCTCCACTGAAAGGGCAATTTCAAGTGACATTCAGTATGAAATTCAGAAACCTGCATTACCTGCCTACATGTGCACACAACAGTGGAAACACAGGCTGTCAGATGGACAGTTACTACAGATACCTACTTCAAGGTGAGCTGAACGATACTTCAAGGCTGTATCAGCTGCACTGCCTACTTCTGATATCTATATTGAGTGTTTTAATCTGGGACCATAGGTTACCCACTCTGTTGAATCACCTACAGCAAATTTGGCATGCCAGCTCCAACAGTCCTTTTCATAAGGSAGAACAACTCTACAGATCTCTAAAACAACTTCATTCATTCATGCTCTGGATGATGTGAAAAGGCCACAGTGATATGAATGCGATTATCCTGACTAAATGCATCTAGTTTAGTCAGAAGGGGGAAAGAAGAGGGGAAAGAAGGGGGAAAGCCACCCTTCTTCATATCAGGGTGCCACTGACACAAACTTCATGTTCTTCCCATTATACAGGAGGCTGGGGTAGAGGAAGAAGGAGGTTGTGTAACTGAAGAACTGTGTAGCCTTAAATACCACCACAGTTCTGATCATTCCTCTAAAAGCAGCTCGTACAAGTCTCCAAAAACAGAGACTACATTAAATCAAGATTATGTATAGAGTTTTATGTCATCAGGCTGAAGCTCCTCCCTAAGGGAACATCTACATCTCCACGCAAAATGGAGAACTGCATCACAACACTGACAGCATCAGTGCAGGCTGACGAAGTGAAGAGCAGAAGATTAACATAATCCGCTCTAATAAAAATCACCTAAGTTTTGAGGTACAGAGTTTTGGGATATCCTTAGGAATGGTAGATCACACTTAGTTGATCAGTCGGGGGAGGTCCAACTTTTTTTAAGTCATTCTGTGTTGCAGTTTGTTACTAAAATTCTCTCCGGGAGGCTGGTGAAATTAGAGGAAAAAAAAAAATGTTAAAATGTTGAGTTGCATATCCTAACCTGCTAGGAAATGTTTCAGGGTAAGCCAGCAGTTTACCATTGCTGGTTATCTAAGCATAAAAATATAGCCATGATTAAACACCTATATTTTTGGCTTTATATAGAAAATGGATGAGGGAGCAGGGGCAAAGGTATGGGAGAAGCAAAAGGTTTAATCCTACTCTTTTTAGAGATGGAATTTTGCTATAGGAACCTCCATTTAAAAACATCAGAAAGCTAAATGGCCAATTATAACAAAAAAAGAAGGAATCAGGAGACTACAGGAAAACTGAGAGTAAGGATTCTTTCTGCTTATTGAAGAATTCTTTTGTTCTAAAAATACAGCCTACAGATGAAGGCAATTGAGCTATTCTTGAAAATGCAGACTTCAAGCAAAGTCTTTAGGTATAGCAGCCAACAAAGAATCTTGAACCRAAAGGGCTGCATGAATATTTAACATCTGAATTTTTCACAATTGGCTGAACAATGCAATGAATGGAAGTAGAAGAGAGAAGCAATAGAGAAATGCCCATCAGGTTATTTTGAAAAGCTTTGAACTGTTTGAGATGTTCAAGTTTTAAATGCTCACAATTCATACAAAGAGAGCATCACTAGGGGGAGCTAAAGTAAAAAAAAAAAACACCATGCTTACATAACATTGCAAAAAATTGTAACAGTAACTTACGAAAGCATTTGTTTTATACAATATCATACMGYAGATATCTAGGGAAATGCAAGCATTTGTTTTATACAATATCATACAGCAGACATCTAGGGAAATGCAATTTTAATAAGTAATCTTCAAATAACCGACTTAAAGTACAATTTGCTATTCACATAAGTAGGCCATTAATTTCTTAAATGATTTATGCAACTCGCATACATTTCCGGCATTAAGCAGTGCCTTCCTGAAGGGAATCTTTGTAAATCAGCATTACGTAGGTGAAATTCCACTTAAATACTCCAGGAGATCTACCCACCTCAGGTTTTCAATATTTGCTGTTATTTTCTTCATGGGGAATGGACTGTTCTAATAAATGTCACACTAAAACCTGTATTACAGACTGTATTAACACTTCAGCTGTTTCTCTGCAAACGTACATATGGASTGACACTTACTCAGTTTGTATTTCTGGATCTGGATCACAAGAATGACACATGGCACTGAATCGAGACACAAAGAAGTCATAGCGTCTGTGGTAGGAAGGGGTGTCYTCCTCGATATTGGCGAATTTGACAAACTGAAAAAGCAAACATGTCAGAAAAGCTTTTGGAACCAATTTCGTGAAAGAAAATAACGAATCCTCAGCTTCACCTTGGAAGTTTCATTAAGCGTTTCATTAAATAAAGAAAAATCAACAATATCTAAGTGAAATGAACTTCACGTTTTTCTGTCAATTCTGCCTAGATTTGCAAAACTGATAAATAAGGAGTCAGGGAATTGTAGACCAATCAATTTTATTTCAATTCACAGAAAGGCATCCTTCTCCCCTACTCCTCCTCTCCCTGCCTCCAAAAACAATCACAATTTGAAAACATCTAAAAAATACAGGCATAAGTAACAGTCAACATGGATTTGTCAAGAACAAATCACATCAAACCATCTTAATTTATTTCTATCAAAGAAACAGATTTTGTGAATCCAAAAGAAGTAGTATCTGTCATATTTTGACTTTAGTGATGCTGTTGACAAAATTTTATGTAGAATTCTCAAAGGGAAGCTAGCAAAACACTGTCTAGAGAGCACCCCCATAAGACATGCAGAGAGTCTGAGGGTTAAAATATATATGCATATAAGTATGTGTAAATTCTCAGCCGCAATGATGCACTGAGCAAATCTCTGAAGAGRCCTGTCTGCAATGCAGCAGTATTTGAGTTTTACTAGGGACTTTGATGCTAAGAGTGGGCTCAAGAGATTTGCCCAAGCTCACTTGATGTCAGGATTTTGACAAATGGGAAAGAGGATCTGAAAACATGCGGATGCAGTTTAGAAGTGGYAAGTGCAAAATACCATTATAAGGCAACTACACAAACGCTGGGTAGACATGGTTGAATGCGGAAATAGAGTGTTATGAAACTACACTCTCCACAAGAGCCAGTCCTGTTATACTGACAAAGCAAATGATATACTAATATTTAACAACATTTACAAAATCTYTGCTGTCTAATTGGCACTAATAAAGCCTCAAATGAAGTACTGTGTCCAACTTTAGCCTCGCAGCTGAAGATGCCGGTTAACTTGTATAGTGCCTGTCAATTATCCAAGGGATGAACAAAGCTCTAGATAAACTTCTGTTAAAAAGGACTGAGATACTGAATTATCTGGTCTAGAGCAAAACAAAGTTAGTCTTACGTTAGTATAGCAGACAGCTATAAAGAGGAAAAAGAACAAAAGATTTTCCTTGTTGAACGCAATATAAAAATGAGCAGTGTGCTTACACTGCAACAAACACTGCTTCAGTTCAAGCTGAAAAACAAACAAAACTTGTCCTACTCCTTATCACCCTATTTTCTGTTTCATCTAGAACACTTTTCCCTTGCAAACTCACTGAGGAGTTCACCTACTGAAAGCTACAGGTRCAGCTGAAATCAGTTGTTTCCAAAATCATATTCTCAGCCATTATTAACAAAAAAAAAGGTGCAAAATAGTATATTACTGATGAGACCATTTTACACATCCTTCAGATAATAAAAAAAAGAGTGGCGCACAGACATACACACAAACACAATTCTGTGGAGTTTATTGGTGCAGTTTGGAAGACAGTCCATCAATAGCAAAACACAGCGTTTTCTCAGAATTATAAAAACCAGCTCCAGGTAGACCCAAGCATTCACTTGGAATGTCTTGTGTCTCACTAGTTTGCTTCATGAAACTTAATTACGAAAAMGATAAGAGACTTTCTAAAGATATTCTGAAGACAGGAACCTAATTAGTCCATTAAATGTAATACACCATGAAATTCAGGAAAGAGGAGAACAATATGGTCTTAATTTTCTCCAAGAGCTAGACTGGATTCATCCAGCAAGTTTCTGTGAAAGCATTTAATGGAAAGGAAGCAAAAGTCTCAGAGAACAAAATGCCTGCAACCACTCACCGGTAACATTTGGAAGTTATACCAGAACATRCATCTGCTATATCTGCCTACATGGACAATACAAAAAAAGGATTTGCACTTTTTAATCATATTTTCATGAATTTTTAAACTAGTAGAATTCCATCAGTGTCAAACTATGTAACAGCAATCATTAGTTACAGCAGGAATGTATTAACTGTTCAGTGGATGTCTGTTCTGGATCAAGACAAGAAAACTGGCTCCTATTTCCCAGAAAGAAGAGATTATTCAAGTCCTACAGGTAGATGATAATTTCTCAAATTAAATTCCTATGGCAAAAAATCTTATTTATATAGTCTTATGCTGTTTAGGTAGCCAATATTTAATAAGTAGAGAAAACAGGTTAAGGAATAGGACTTTTGATGCCTTCAGTTATGCCTTATCAGGTAATGAGTTGATGTATTAATCTATAGAAAGTTTACACAATCTCACCTATAGTTTTTGATATTTGAGTTTTAGCTCTCTGTTTGACAGCTTGTAATTCTCTCCTTATATTTCATGCTAAGGAGACTAGAGGTTTGGTTTTTTTCTTTCTTTTTTCTTTTAGATACAAAGCTACTGTATTTCATTACTAGGAAATTTTATCAGATAGGAAGACATGATACCCTATGAACACAAGCCTCTTATAAACTATATGGSATGGCATTAGCAAGAAACACGGATGTACACAAATGCTTTACCCAAATAAGTACTTAGAAAAAAGACAACCACTCAATGTTTTCAAACATTGAAAAAAGGAGAAGTTTCAAACATCAGACTCACACATTAACTWCACATATGAAATACAAAACTCATCAAAATTAAAACACACACGGTTCTCAGTCACAAGAATATTTAACTGTAACAGTTAAAAATTCAAAATGCTAGGAAACATGTTAGAATGGGGCAGCTTGTTTTACATTATATTTTACTTCAAGCCACTTGGACGCATATTTTCCTGACTGATGTATGTGCAGTCGCTTGACAGTCAGTACAACTAAGTTGGTTAATAGGGCCACATTCATGTGGGTATGAAGCTGCACAAAGCCGTATGAATAGGACAGAAGGGAAGAAAGTAATGTTCACCTGGGGAATCACACTAGAGGAGCATCTGAAGTGTTCTGCAAACTCAAATTCTGACAGACATAGAATAAAATTCTGAAAATAGTTTATTAGCTTGCAGAAGAAAAGAAAGGATGCTTTGCATAATTCTATCTGTACCTTAAATCCTATAAAAGAGCTAGAGCAGGAATGCTGAGTCCAYGCACAAAATACTGTACATGCCTACACAATTGTTATGAGCACATAATTTCACATCAGTGCATGGAATGAAAGAAGGATGAGGAATAAAACCAATGTGCCATCAACTGGTGAGGTTTTCTTCGGCATATCATTTACCTTGCTTTAAAAAATAAATACAATTATGACTAATAAACAGTCACCTTCTGCACAGGACTCCAAACACAAGCACTAATGGCATCATTGTTCCCTGGGTGCTAATAAGAAATTATCCTTCCAAATGAGGATTCCTACCAACTGGTGAGAAGATCTGTGGTAACTGGGGAGAACATCTGYTGTAACTATTTTAATAGCATTATATTGGAAATATATATTGGAAATATGTTTATTTCAGATAGAAAACAATGTTTTACTATCAAAATACACAGAAGAATCCACCAAGTCAATATTCCAGATTGCCCTAAAATGTTTTGTATTCAAATGAGATTTCTCCAAACAGAAAACTATCACCTGAAAGTTAACTGCACAAACTCATTATATTCACCAGCTGTTCTCTAAAGAAATTTTCTGCATCCTCCGTAAGAGCTTGACAGATTAATATATATCTGGTAAAGGCTTGTGCTGGAAATAAAATCTCAAACACAAGTTCACAAGAGCTCTTTCCCTCTGAACAGGGAGAACAAACCTAATTCATTAATTCTGCCCTACCAGTAACTATTAATGATCTACACATTACAAGATAACAGTCGAGTTGCACATATTTTACCAAATTAGATATTTTGTTACTGAAGTTCTKCAGTAGTGGTTAGAGAACAGTAAATTTAAGTTTGCAATTAGTTTCCAAAAACTAAGACTTCTTGCCAATCAGCCTTCAATTTATACCTTAAGTCAAAAAAGCCTCAGTTCTTCTCACCATATTCCTTCAGTTTCTGAACTAGCATATGTTACTTCAGTGATGGCAAAAATATCTTTCAAAACAGAAGACAGACTATYGGATTGGAAACCGGTCTATTACAAAAAAAATAAAGTAAAAATAAAAATTCAAGGTATCTACTACTGAATTCCACCCATACTCAAGTCTCTGACGSTATAACTAGATTTACATTATACATAAAAAAATTATTGCAATAACAAAGAGATATAAATTGACATGTAATTAYATCAATTTATAAATACAATTTAAGCTTATGAGAAAATATTATTTCTGTTTTTCATTTACATACTTTCACGCTTGAACTTCAAGACGGTAATTTATAAGGCTTTCTAAAACAGAACTCTTCACGTTTGCTTTATAAAAGCAAGTTAACTTAAAAAAATTTAAATTAAAAAAAAAATCAAACAGCTATACTAATCTCTTGGATCTTTATTAGCTATAGAACACTACATAGAAGTTCTATCTTCAAAGATTTTTCTCTGGCTTCCAAATCTCAGCTTTTCATGACAGCAAAAGCTTTCAGATCTTTGAGACTTAAAGCTATCAGAAGTTACTTAGTACTAAGACTTGTTTTATTTGAAACTCTGACTTACGATGAGTCACAAGAGTCCCCAGAGTAAAACCTGTTTGCTAGGGAATTTTTAAGGTGGGTAGRGAGAAGGAAACTCAAACAATGCAGCTAAGACAGTCAAATTTTGCTGGAGCCACATTTGCCTTTKTTCTCCAGTAAAACCTGTGAAAGTGTCAGCTTTGGATGGAAAAATAATCAAGACACTTAGAAAGATACAGTCATAGCCACAATCATTGCTCATGATTAGAATTCACCTAAATTTGAACCGACTCAAAAATGAGCCTTTGCACACAAACTTTTCCAAAGGCTGCCTTCCCCAGCTTAAAGATACTTATTTCCTATATAACTTTTATTATAGCACTTCCAGACAATACCACTTTCCTTTCTAACGTGGTACAACAAGATAACTCAAGCACATATAAAAGAGTTATGTGGTAACTGTTTACAATCAGAACTCACTTTTTTCTTTCTCTGCATGAGGGAAAGAGAAAAAATAAATAAAAAAAAATAAAAAAAAGATGATCTCAGAAGTGATGGCAAATCATCCTGCCTGGTGTCAAATATTCTCAAGCAGCAAGGCAGGTCATTACCCTCAGAAAAGGCAATCTGTCAGTGCCAAGATAGTTTGCTCCTCTAGAGTACACCCAAAAAGACTGTCTGCTCTGTCTATTGACTATAGAAGACATCTCGGGAAAATTGTATAATTAGGCTAAAATTAGCCRTTGAAATGCCATTGGAGCCATATATACAATTTGGTTTCCTGCTCTTACAGAATTTGACATCTTATTTATGAGAACATAATTGTTTTTGGTTGCTGAGTTTTACAAGAGACAACCAAATTATTCAATTTAGGAAGTCTGATTACTTGCTCTGTTCATAAAAGGCTTCCTTAGAAACTGACAGGGAGATCAAACAGATGACCATAACAAGGATATCTGCTCAGTAATGTATTTCTTCAGTTGAGACATGTCTTGTACATCAAAGTGGCTAGCATTAAATGTTCACTATTGAGCACATGAAACAGGAAAGTGATGCTTTTTGTATTTGCCAGCCCAGGAAATAAGTTTCAAAGCTATTCCCCTTTAAGGTCTCAACCAGGCATTATTTTACAATCAAAACAGTAAGAATCTGGGTAATCTGGCTCAAATAAATAATTATCCTGAGTTAATTTGCTCTATTTGTTCGAAGACTAAGGAGACAGTTCGAAGACTAAGGAGACAGTATAAGAGGGATGTGGAGCTTCTCGAGAGGGTCCAGAGAAGAGCAACTAAGATGATTAAGGGAATGGAACATCTCTCGTACRARGAGAGGCTGAGTGAGCTGGGCCTKTTTTCTCTGGAGAAGAGAAGGCTCAGAGGGGATCTGATTAATGTGTATAAGTTCAGGAAGGGAGAATGCAGGGAGGAAGGGGACAGGCTGTTTTCACAGGTGGCCAGCGATAGGATGAGGGGTAATGGCCATAAGCTGGAGCACAGGAAGTTCCCTCTCCATGTGAGGAGGAACTTCTTTMCTGTGAGGGTGACAGAGCCCTGGAACAGGCTGCCCAGGGAGCTTGTGGAGTCTCCTACTCTGGAGGTCTTCAAAACCCGCCTGGATGCCACCCTGTGCCACATGCTGTAGGTGTGCCTGCTTGAGCAGGAAGGTTGGGCTAGATGATCTCTAGAAGTCCCTTCCAACCTTGAATATTCTGTGATTCTGTGAGACACTTCTCCCGTTCACTACTGGAAGGGCTCTATGTTGCACTGCATTTAGAAATCCTGCTACAGAGCAGCAAGGCTCTGCACCTTCCTGCTTCCCTGAACTGCAATTTCATTTAACTCCATTCAATGGGACTCATGCTCAAAGGAAGCCTTCGAGAATCCACAGGGGGCCCATACACTAGCACAGGCAAAGCACAAGAAATATCAGCATTACTCTCTCATCTATGCAATCATCATAATCTTCATATATGCAATTAAAGTGAAAATAATCCACCTTACAATCATGAAACTTCTTAGGGGCACATTGTACAGGCTGGGAGATACAATGGCTATATTGAATATATGACAGAACCATAATATTGATACCATCCATCACTCTTCTTGCTTGGGGAGCCATCCTCGGATCTTCATCTGGACACCTTCTCAGTTATGCCTTTCAAAAGCCTKGATCTGAACAGCAAAATACTTAGGCTAATGAGATGTGGAGGCCAGAATGCTCAGTGTTTTTTGCCTCCTAGTTACCTTCCAGACAACAGGAACCTTGCTCAGGAGTATCATCACTGCAGAGATATCTCTTATTTCCTCTATCCTACATTATTTCTCAGAGTAGTAAAAGAAAATATCACCCTACCTATGCAATGACYCCAGGAATACTGTATTAAAGATTCAAAATATGAATTCAAAGAACAGCTTTGCTCCTTGCATAATAAGTCATGTCTTCAGGAGATGAGCCCAGTCAAGAGATGGAAAAAAAAGCTTTTCCTGCATGCTTGTATCTGTTTTGCATTTAGGTCCAAACACCAACTGCAATATGGCTGACAATATTGCTACACACAGAACCTTCTCAATTCATGTAAACTGACAGATACTCTGTCAACTGTCATTTTTTTCTGCCTTAGAAAATAMGCAGAGACTTATTCTGATTAGATTCAGCATCTCAGTTTACTCACAGAATTGGTTCCTAGAACTTGCAGCTTTGGTTCTCCTGATTCCAGAAGCTTGGCCACCATGTGAAGGAAACTTTCTACAAATGGCTTTATGCTTTGAGAATGGCAAGCCATTAAAAGTTGGTCCAGGGCTTCCATGGCAATTAAAACATACCTAAAATTGTGGAGAGACTCACATTAGCACACATGCTTGATTTATCTCAATTTAATCAGTTTAGGTCCTTATTACTACAGAACTACAGAATTTAGAAATGAATAGAGGGAAGAAAGATCCTTGTAAGAATCTAAAAATAGTACTGCCATTTCCTACATTAATATATATACATATACACACACACACATATATATTTTCAATAGAAATTCTCTCATTTTCTCCTATTTGTTTTGGATGAATGCTTTCAGAAGGCATGTCAAAATTAACATTGAGCAAAAAGAAAGCATAAAATAAAAATTAAATCAAGCTATATTTTAATTACAAACACCATTTTTCTAGTCCATAGTTCTTATGCTCATTAAAATCCCAAATCAGCAAGATATCCACTTCTGTAAAGTATGTGAAAGAGAAGTTAAAAAAAATGAGTTATCTGAAATATTTAATCGTCCTGCAATCGTTCTGCAAAATTCTAGAAAAGGGACATCCTTAATGTCAAAAATGATGCCCTATTACAGATACTTTCTTTCTTTTCCAACTCTTACTGTTTAACTTTTTGTGCTCAATACTTTTCTACTTAACAATCTTTCAAAGTTCTCACTCAAATAGACTCAGAACACAGCAGAGTTTAACTTCATGTTTAAATATAATACAGTCCAATGGGGCTGAAAAGAAAATTATTCCCTCCTCCTCATTCTCTGAATGACATTCGATGGTCTGGGTCTATCAACCCTTAAGTCAGACCAGCACAGTGATCATGAAATGTAGCTACTTTTTTTCCATCTTTTATGCAGAAGTCAATTTCTTTACCCGTAGCGATGTCTGACAACATCTCTGCTCAGCCTCTCTGCCAGGTAAGCACCAATTCGATCTAGTTTTTCTGGTGCAGAAACTGCATAGAAAGTCAATTTCTCCATATCAGCTTTAACAAGACCATCCTAAAACAGAGACACAAAACCACAGAAATCAAATTACAAAGGTACAAAGTAATTAAAAGATTACAAAACTTTTGAAGCATCTTTCCTTTTGTCTACTGTAAGTTCAAAGAACGGATTCCTGCAGACTAGAATAAGCAACTGAAAGAAACAGAACTTTTGAAAAAAACTGCTGATAGTTCAGCTTAAAGAAAAAAAAAATCAAGTGAAGTATTTCTGAAAGAAATGAACTAATTATCTTTCTCCCCCTTTCAGCCAAAGCATTTGGTGAAATGCATCATCAGTTCTGAGACATTTACGCTACTGGTACAGTTTAATTTCATTCCCCAGCCCACAAGATGTCATATATTTAATGAACAATTTGAACAAATTTATCCTACACGCAAACAAGATTTTAATTTATTTTATTTTATTTTTTTTCTCAGGTAAGGCCAAGGTAACTGAAGGCTATCTCTTAGAAAAAGATGTTTTATTAAAAAAAATTGTAAGAATTGGTAAAATAGAAAAAAAAACCCTGAGCATTAGGTATTCATTAAAACATTTTTGAGCATCAATCACTTAAAACTTAAGTCGTCACTTACTTTTGGATCCTCAGGAAATATGTTGTCTACCAGACGCTTGTAGCGAGGTCGCAAAGCRGCACAGCAACAGCACACTCCTGAGGAAAGATTTACCCAACAAGTTTTAGAACAAAGCTTAAAAAAAAAAAAAAAATCATTTTAAATGGCTAGTTAACGAGCAAGAAAAATGAATACAGYAGCCTTTTACCATCAGCACTTAAGCAAAATTAAGCTCAAAAAAAGTGACTGAGAAGTCAGATATGCAAAACTACTACTAGAATACAGCCTTAAATGTCTTGGCTTTAGGAAAAATGAGTAACAAACCATAAGGTGAGGTGAGGAATGGTCTTAGTGTTCATAACGTGTGAATTTTGCTCTAGCCAAGATTCTAACACAGGATTATGGGGACTAGTCTAAAATAGACTAATTTTGTGATTAAACTCTGTGATTCTGTGATTAAAGCGTAAACTAAGGTGAAAAACACTCTGCCTTTCTTCCTGTGACCCCAAAGGTGCCTTCATAAATATTCTGGCAATGTTTAATATCCTTAACTAATATTAGTATCACACAGTTGATTGTTAACCAAATAAAACATTTTATGTTAATTGTCAGTATAACTAGAAATCTGGCAAGTTACCTCTCAAAAATGACAGATGATTTTAAAGAATTTTAGTTTCCATTTTCCACCGACTGCTGTCTATTCTGCATGGATTACATATTACTATGAAAATACACATACTCTCAGTGAAGTTTAATACCTTTATTTGTTGTCTTATCTCCATTGTAAATGAGCATTTCACAACACCAAAAAATCAAAAAAAAATAAAAGAAAAAAGGGTTGTCAATAAAAACTGCATTATGACAGGAACTACATAAAGGAGTATAAAATAAGAACTATAGAAAGTAGTATAAATCATATAAAGTAGTATAATCTAAAACACAGGAAACAATCCTTCCCTTAATTATTCCCCAGTTTATTGGTGATCAAATAAAGGTGGTTACTTGAAGTTAAAAAAAAAAAGTATTTTGCTGACCTCATTTCTACTCTGCTAGTGATACTCAATCAGGTAAAAAAAAAATCAGAACAATACATACAACTTATTTACAAAGTACATATATATTTTTACTCTAGGATTCAGTAMTACTTTGTTTTTGCAATAATTCTGATCTGTACAAATAGAAATACCATCTGAATACAAAATGTAACATAAAAACAAAAAACCCACAAGTTTCTAGTTATATGTCCAGTTCCTTTAGTGATGCAGGCTCATTCCAAAGCTATYTAAATGGTTTAACAAACCCAGTTTTAAATTGCTTCAGGTATGGAAACATTATCAGACTAACTCATTGGTCAAGTTTCAGACTGACATCAAAACAGGGAGATTTGAAGGCTCTTTACCAAAGCTGCACAAGGATCGGGGGCTGTCACATCTTTCAAATCTCAGCTACCTCAGAGTAACTAAATATCTCACAGTTATCTTATGAAARACATCCATTTATGCACTTAAAAAGTCTAAAATGCTTTGCAAAAATAACAAAAGGATAATTGCACCAATTCAAAATAGGMAAAAGAATAGAAGTTATCATCTGGATAACCTTGATGTTTACAATGTATCTGCAARTTTTCCAGGCTGGTAAGAGACATGAGACAAAGAGACCAAGATTTGTATTTCTTTACATAACAYGCACAAGACTAGCTGAGCAGATACTGCCCCATCCATTCCACCCATTTGTCACTATGACACTTTTCTTTCCACTCGCAGTGCAACAACTCCACTCTTACAATTTATCTAACTAGAAACTGTCCTGAAATATGTTTTTGAAACAAGACTTTGACTTCAGTTTCTGTTTGGTGCTATTTTAATTCAATTCAGGAATTAGAAAGTTTCAAGTATAATCAGTAAGATGGTCACAAACTTCAGGAGAGCAAAGATAATAACAAATAAACTCCAAAGCAATAAACTTTCTACTGAGAGTTTTTGTGTGAAATAGMACTTTGCCACTACTGTGAAACTCTTCATACAAGTTTGTCTCTCTTGACACCTCCTACTGCTCACTGAAGTCTCACCACTGTAAAACTCACATTTACATAAAAAGCTATAGCCACTAAGTGATTAAAATCAAGGCTATTTCACATTCCACTGAAAAATACAGGTAAGACTGAAACAAAATATGTTAAAAATATACTCACTTTACAGGTAATTCATAGTTGAATGAATATATTTTAATATGTTAGTATTTTGTATAATTCAAGATAAGGTAAAGAATGAAGCRAAAGTAAGCACTACTCTTAGTGTCTAGCATATCACTCAGTGTGAGGAAAAAGGCATTAAAATGTATCAAAGCAAGACATTTTTCCRAGTCACAAGTTCTGCAGCTGGTTCAACATTCTTTGAATTTGTGTTTTTCTACCTGGCTCTTCTACCTTTCTTACCACTAGTATCAGTCTGGACGAAGCAGTACATTTTACTGCTATTACTGATAACAAAATATTCTTATAGTAACGTTAGTACAATATTTTGCTGAAGCTACCTGAAATATAATAAAAACACACACACACCAAAAAAATAGATTACATGCAATGCAGGCATTTAAAAGCACATTTAGAGTTAGTTTCTCCCCTTTTAAGTGACAGGAGAGAAAAAGAACTAAAATTTAAAGTCTTAAAATGGTGGTTTAGAAGACAGGGAATTATGTAAATTGAACATAAAATGGAACGCCTGGATACAGACACTCATTTGAGAAGGATGAAATATCAGGTTACAGAGTAGCAAACGCTGACAGCCCTGCTAGATGGTTTCAGGTAACAGAAACTCAATCGCATTCAAATGCTGCTCTTCACATTTATTCCATACAATGAGTTTTGAGCTCCCTGCAAAAACCAATAGGAAGTTACAGAAGATGTGAAAGGTTTTTCTTCTCTTTATCCCAGGTTTTTCATTCATTTTTACACTGTCATGTTCTACAGCTACTAAAACAAAATGCAAAGCATTGTCTATCACTAAGACATGAATCTAAATCGAATTAATTTTAATTTAAAAAAATAAGTATCATTAAAAAAGCACATTCAAGTTTTACAAACTAAAACTTCAACTATTAAAGCTTTCAACTCTGAAAGCTCTTTTGAGTAAAGGTATTAAAGCAGAAGACAATTAAAAAAGTGACAGATTCTCCAAAGAATAGATAAAATAATTAGGAATAATTAGTCATGACATAGATTTTGAGATAAAATAGCTTTCATCATTACTCTATGTTTTGATATAACAGGAAAGACTATTAAAAAGGTACAAAATACTTTTAAAATATTCCTGAATATTAAAAACACAGAATAATTAAGACTTACCAGTATATTAGAAATAATACCAACTTAAAATTAACTGAAGTATATAGAGCACAATCCAGATAAAAAAATTGATACAAGTAAACAGTTCATTTCTTACAAACAAGCTGTTTTCAGTCATAGCTATGCAGAATAGAAATACCAAGCCAGATAAAAATGTTGTTGTTCCAGTCAAGGTTGGAACAAGACAGGTTTATCACCCCAAAATACTACGACAATTTCCTTTCAGTGCTAGACATAATTTTCATTCTAAGGTTCTCTCTCTTGAAAATACCTCTTTATCATTATATACAAGTCTACAGAAACTTCATACTGTCATATTATGCCAAGGTAAATATTTTAGGCAATGGTTTAGAAGTTACTTTGGCAACAGTGGCATTTTCTAAGTTTGAAAATACATGTTCTGTTTCATTAAYGGAATCTCATAATCTGCCTTTTACATATTAAAGCTGTATATAACTTACCAACTCTAAAGACACTTTTTACATGCATTTATTTTACACATCAGCAAAAAATATAGCCCATGTTATCAGAAAATGGTAATTTCACCTACCCAAACACATACACGGCCTTGGTTCAAAAGCAGAATTATAGTCATAGGTTTTTTCCTGCTCAACAGTTGGAACTTGGACATACTGCCTCATCTTGGCCACAGCTGCACTCCCCAGGTGCTCTGTCCTGTCTCAGCACTTTGCTCTCTCAAACTCATACAGAAGGAGTTGCTTCACGCGAGGGCTCTCCACTACTGTACCCTTAYCTGATTAGCTCTGTGACATCTATGTGAAGCCAACAAACACGTGAAAAACTTCAGTATCAAATTCCATTAATTAGGCCAGGCAGACGAAAAGAGAAGAGAGACAAAAGTTGTACTGAATCATGAAAGTGATTCACGACTCATCACGATGAAACTGTGAATAGGGACAGTTTCATTATTTCGACTTCCCCAGAGCAGACAGCTCACTGCTTCTGTGAGTTACAGAAATCAGTAGAGAGAAATCAAATTCATTCATGCCACATACCATTGTAAAAAGGCAAATATTTTAGCAAAATGCGCTCACCTGATCTTACCAAACTGAATGCCCAGGACAAAAATTTAAGTTGCTGACTATAAAGACTTTTTAAAAAGAAGGGTTTAACTTTAAAATCAGATAACTACTGTAACGAGTCACACAGTTTAATTTCATTAACACTATCTTTAATAATACCTCAAAATTCAAGAAGCTGGTATTAGAACATTTTAATCTCAACRAATCACAAATTCTATAAAAGGAAGAAGAAATTTCATTTTGGTCTAAACACTTTAAAAGTTACTTTCTGATACTGCATTTTTTTTGACTTTGCATTTCTTTCCAACACTTCATCCTTTTGCTTCCTACATCACATCAGTTTGGATAAAATGAATGGGTAATTCTTAAATATTTCAAACACACTGAAAAATAAATGCTTGTGTTTAATAGAACTGTGAATAATAACKTTCAATACTGAAGCAATGTTTCCACTGCACTTTTAGTCTTAAAAGACAGATAATAAACTTATTTACTGACTGCATGTAAACTCAGGAAAAAAAAACCCACTGAGCTACATAGGAACTGCCATCACGTATTTTGTTAAAGAAACTCTATGATGCAAGATAGAAGGATATGTATTCTGAGAAAATATAATTTCAAAAGAGCTATATACTGCTAGAGCTCATTTGCATGAAATTATAATCARTGAAAAAACCCTTAAACTATCTTTAAGCCATGTCCTATTTCTAAA